ATTATGAACAAAATATATATGTTGACATTAATCCTGTAAATAATATTACATGAAAAACACAGGAGAAGGTTATTAACCTAAATATGAATATAGAGTAAAATGATTAAACTTTAACCATACTTTAAGAGTATAGCCAAAGTAGTTATACAGACTACCCTTTTACAGAATTTAAATTATTTTATAACTCTTGAAATATTGAGTAACTAAAAACACAATTGATAAAGTGAAGAGCAAAAAGTTGAAAACAAAGTGACAATCCTTCAAGGCAATTCCATTACCATGCTCAAAGTAATCTGAAGGATCGTCACAGTATGCTTGCATAGCATCAACAAATTAAGAGATATCTTCTTAACATTTACCAAGTAAGCGAGTCAGTTCATCGAATTTCACAAAAATTAATTGTGAAAATGGGTATTAATAATAATATATGTGAAAGCAATCCGACAAAGACTCAAATAATGGCTAAGGCAGAAAACCTAATTTCAGAAAATTGTATTATTGAACATTTTTTTATAATTTCACCATGAGCATCCCTGGAAATGTGATACCTCTTAATTCCAAAGTTGTTGATGGTATACAAGTACAAAAATGTTTCTTCCACTTTACATTACTACACAAAAATAACGAAGATTCTTTTATTACTGAGAAAAATGTTCCTTTAGTGAATGGTATTTTTGTGTCACCCTGTGCGATGTACATCTGGCGATCACTTCTTATAACCGAGTCTCATTTGCTCCGATTCATCGCGATCGAGTATTTTGTTCAAAATCGAATACAAGTTTCAACAAAATATGACCGGACGCCGGCTGATGAGTCGGAGCAAATGTGACCCAAGCATTTGAAAAACTTGGCAAGATATCTTGTCTAATCGGCAACTTTAATCCATGCAATAAAACCTCAAAAACGGATATCAATTTCGTTGCTTGTATTAAGCGATCGTTTAGTTAAAATGAATAAGATATACGAAAAAGACCTAAATAAGAAATTAAACAACTGTAACTGCACCGCGCAAAGGGCACTTGTAAACATAGTTTTCTGAGTACTTGGAATTTATATTGATTTACTTGCCCGCCATTCACGGTGTCCATGTCTGCAAGCCTTATAGGCACGCAGTTTGAAACTCTGACAAACTGCGCGCATATTTCAAAATGGAACACGGGGAGAAAAAGTCTCCCAAAAAGAGCCAAAATACGAAAACTACAAGGCTAGTCTACTTCTAAAGATAGTATCTTTCTGTGAAGATGAACTTAATTTACTCATAGTACTCGATGTTGTTCCCGATGTAAACCTAGTTATCTCAATATAAGGGTCTTAAGTAACTTCTGAAATTTACAGTGTTAAATTATATCTATGTCTTTTTATCATAATTTGCCGTTTATTTAGCCATTGTGTCTGTGTATGCTAGAATATAAATCTTATAGGATCACTCCATCTGGTTAAAGCAGCATAGTTTGCGTTCAAAACGATAATACGCCATAAACGTAATTTAAACATTTTTCTTGTCAAACTGCGCGCCTATATTCACATGTATTTCCCCAACTGCGTGCCTAATATTTCCAAACTGCTTGCCTATCCAAGCTTGTTGTGTATTATTAGAAAACGTAAGCGCCATATGTAAGACACATATGTGTCTAATAGTAGAACCCCATAATTGGAATACTATGAGAGTCTGTCCACCAAGATGATGATCTGGAAATAAAATTTTTTTTCGTTCCTAACTTAATTGTTACTTTTGTTATACATTTTGACTTTCAATATGAAAATCTCATAAAATCTGATGATAAAGCAAAATTTCCAAAGCTATATGAAAAACACCTACACGTGCCTCTGTAGAAATTCCAATGATAATATGTAGTTTTGATAGTGTATGCGCGCAGTTTGTAATTTCTGGCTAAAATAGGCGCACAGTTTGTGCTTTATTTAAGGAATAAATAATGATAGGCCATTCAATATGGTGAAATTCAGCACGGGTTGGACAGAATGTTGTACAAAGCACGAACCGAGATTTATTCTGATTCAAACATAAAAACTAGTAAAAGCCGTGTCTGTGGAACGGGCATGAAGGAAGAATACGCATGCTGCCAAGATTCTGAAGTCGGCCGGAAAAATTTTAGAATTTGTTTGGGCTGTTCTATTTTACTCCCCGTTTTAGATTTTAAACGGCGTATGCAAACATGGGTCAGCCAAGGGCGTTACAATACCCGGGAATTTATCGGTTCGTCCAGTACTTGTTTGTGATAGCGCCCTCTGTAGGTCACTGTGCTTATAGCCTACAGTAATACGGGGTAGGATATCGGGAATTCGGTCAGTTTCTATCCGTCGATTTCGCTATGAATTGAAGCAAGTGTGACCACTTTATCCACTTAAACAATTTGATAATTGATTAAATCTTTAAACAAAATCGATAAACACGTTATACACTTCCTATCTCCTTAGAAATTAGCATGTATTTATGGATTGTGTTTTCGAACAAGGCTCGACCCACCCCAATAGGGAAATCCTTATGCTAATTAGTATGACGTCATATTTTCCTGGGGAATCCTAGATTTCAAAGCCTCAGTCTGTTATTGTGTCAAATGTAAACGCTCTTGGGACGCTCTTTTGCAGACAGAAAATTGACAGATTAGCTTTTAACTTTCAGCTTTGATGTTAAAATATTCTGTATTTCTACCGGACTTCTTGCTGAATATCATATAATGTTATAACTTGATTTGGACCATTGCCTGATTGATCATTCTGAAATTTTGATTGTGATTCATGATTGATTGGCAAGAAAAAAGAATTCCTATTGTTTTCCAGCGAAGTCAAAATGTTACAGCATGAGTTATAATGTCGAGTTTGCATCATGTTAAATTCTGCTAGTGATAAAAAGTCCATGCACAAGCATACACATAAGAGACAAACACACCCAGGCTCCAGGCCGTGGATGGAAATATAAAACTATTTAAGGCACAAACTGGTATTAATAGACCGATATGTAGTGTCTGCCATGTATTGAAAGTAAACCAATCTGCATTATTAATGTTACTTCTATCAATACATGGATTGAGCAATGGAAAAGCAATGGCACAATCAAAAATGTGCATATCAATCGTGAATATCTCTCGGTTCAAAGCTTATTTCCAACAGAATCGTGTCAAAATATGTGTCTGAGTAACAGTTATACATTATAAGATCGCAAACTCTTACCAATTATCAGCCGAATGGCTCATTTTCAACGAAATGTCCTTAAGACAACAGCCCTGGGTCGCCCCTGAGACCAAAAACTACTTCAAATAGCCCTCCCCTAATTATATTGGATAATCACATTTATTCGTGCGCGCGCAGCTCATCCAATGAACGAAACGCCACTTCCCGCTGAAATCACCGGGTATTGATCTTTCCCTTGGGTCAGCCATAGTTAAATAGTTACAGTAGTTACGGAGGGAGTGAAAAAGAACAGCTATCCCCGGACAGAGCCCCAGATGTGCAGCTGAGATGTGACGTCACTCAAAACAATGCAAATTGCAGATTGAATAGAGCATGGTCGTGCATCTATGGAGAATTAGAGAACGTTCTATATTGGCTATGCTGCATTCTGATTGGTTGAGAAATTCGAATAGAGCACGGTCATGTTTGAATTCTTTTTAATCTCCTGATTATCTGTTTTATCTCGAAATATTTTGAATTATACATGATAAATGCGTAAGGAATTAAATATAGAACGAGTCTGAAGTATTTGTCATTTATGTTTGAAGTGCTAGATCGATTTACGTATAAAGTCCTGTTAAATCAGTGACGAAAATGCCATTAATCTGCTTATGTTTTAAACATTAGATTCATTGCACATCGTTTTTGCTAGTATTTGCAAGATTGGTACATTCGCCACAGAATGAACGCATTAAACAAGAAAACAATGCAGGATATATGTTTTTAAATTGCATTTCAAAACACAGACTCCAACTTGAATGATGCAATGTTCTTAGGCACACAGTTTGTGATCGAAACAATAAACTGCATGCCTAAGTAGGCGCGCAGATTGACATGGGCACCGTGCCATTGAAAGTATAATAACCTGGTGCAACTGTACTATCTATGTTGTTATTCTCTTGTAGGTGAAGTTTAAGGGCGCAAATACTTCTTAAAGTAATAAAATTCCTCTTAACAGACCTTACAAAACATGTATTCCAACTGTTGTTAGCGCGTAAAAAGTCGAAAAATTTGTTTGGCCCGAAAGTTTTGTGGGTCTCGGAAAATGGGTCTTTGGAGGTTTCTGAGGCCAAATTATTAAAAATAGTCCTTAAATGTTCAAAATTCACGCCCAATTTTTGGTTTAAGGGGCCCAATATTTTTGCTTGTTAGATTCTGGATCCGCCAGTGTTACTCACTGCCTGTCAGGCTAACATAGCATCAATAACATGTAGAAACCATAAACAGTTTTATATGAGATTATGCTTAGGCGGAAAAATGTCAACAATTTGTTTATTCTAGGTATACCATACCATTTCATGTGATAACCCTCTTTCCACACACCATTCCTTTATAGTATGAAAAAGTTTCTTTATGTGTCAACCTGTACAAGGATGCGAGGCAAATGCCTTTGAAAGTAAGCAAACAACATTGCACATTATTCCTAGCTAGTAATAGCAGCTACCCAAAATAATGTAGTGTTATTCCTTTGAACTAGCTATCGTAAACATAAAAGTAACGAGATCATTGGTTAAACGGTTCTATATGAATAATTTTCATGAATTCCCGATCCAATTCATACGATTTGAATCCACTCGATCCGCTGTATATTTAATGCTTACTTTGGCGTGGGATAGTAAGGAAGCAGATTACTAAGAGGGTCGAGGGGATGAGACTTGTTTCATATTGTATGGTACAACCCCTCTTAAACATATCCTATGTCTCCTGAGAGTTGAGTTATTTATATACACACGCTCCGGTTGTATGCTTGTAGGCTATACTACCACTAGCTCTGAGAAATATATATATAGGTGGTATAATGATGAACTGACCTGCAAAATCTGCCGATTTTGTGACAAGAGCTTCGTAGATTGCATCATAACTGTTAAGTACAACAACCAAATCCCCAGCAAAGTTCAACTTAAAGATCGGCCCATACTCCTCAGTCCATTTTAGTAAATCTTTGTGAATACGTTCCAGGTCAACTTGAAGTGCATTCCCAAATATTGGTATCCCTTTAGGTCCTGGGATCTTTGCGATAATCCTTGATTTCCCATTAGTGTATTTTAGACATACATACATTAAAAAAGCAAAACAGCCTAGAAGAATGTAGACCAACATTTTGTAATATGTTATACTGTTATTACAGTGCCTCGGTCTCTGCTAAACATTTGTATAAAGTACATGCAATGCAACACGAATGTACAACCTTCCGTGTTACTGTTAAAAAAGACAAATGAATTTAACATGAGTGCACAGGGGCGGATCTGGAAACTAACAGGGGCAAATTTCAAGCTTTGTCTGAAAAATCCTTTGGCCCTTATTTGCTAGAATTTGGCAAAAAATTAAAAAATAATGCCTAGAAATGCCCTAAAAAATTTCTGGGCCAACATTTTTTGGGCCCAATCTTTTTCCTGGCCCATTTTTTAAACATATTATTTATTTCATAATCAAAAAATACACAAAATATCTACTACCAATCGCCATAGGCATTCTAGGTAGTTTAAATTACAATAGAGGATTAATTACAGTAATCATAGATGGTTATTGATGGTAATGTGAGAGGTTGGGAGGGAGGGGGGAGGGGGTACAAATGAATCACAAGATACAAATGAAAGTTACATTAATTTGATGGAAACTTATAACAGGCCTGTACAAATTGCATCGCTTTATCTATCAGGATTTTCTGAGAATCAATAGTAAGTTCATTTTCATAAATTAAATATTTGACCTGTTCTGTCTTACTAGAAATAAGTTGAGTATCAGACAATACATTTTGTTCACGAGGTGCAGTCATCATTTTATTACATTCATGGGTATGGCGAGGGCAGGCTAGAATGAGATGCTTTGTGTCTTCAGTAGAGCCACAGAGGCATTTGTTGTCAATTATTCCAGTAAAATTATGAGTAAAGAAATGGTCTTTAAGGGCAAAATCAACTCGAAGCCTATGAAGCAGTTTTTCGTTGGTTCTACTTAAATTTAATTTTGTAGTTGGTATGAAATTTGAAATAGGGATAAATATCTGTTTAATAGAGCTTTTGAATCTAGAAATGGTTTGAATTTCACGAAAAGTCTGGCTAAGATGGTTCCAATCATTTATAAAATTTAAGACTGGTGCTTTAGAGAGTCTCATTGAAATATTTCTTGGGCAGGAAAAGGGTAAGAAGTGTCTAGTTGCATGGTTGCAATGTTGGTCAAAAAGACTATAGACATAATAAGGCACATCCTTTCTTACAATTTTGAACATCAGTCTTAGGTTTTTCATGTCTTTTATCAGTCAGCGATTTCCACTATAAACATTTTAAAGTTTTTGAGGTATTAGAGCAGTACTCCAGCACATATAACAGCAGCTTGATGGTGGATTTTACCAAGCTTTGATAAGGCCGCCAAAGATGACGATCCGAAAATGGAGCTTCAATAGTCAAAATGAGACGCCAAATATAAATTATACATGATTTGAAGATGGTGCGACTGTATTTTGTTTGATATGACCTTCAAAGGATTTAACACTTTTTGAACTTTTGACAGATAGTTTATATGGTCTTTAAAAGTCAAATTCTCATCTAAGATGAAACCCAGGTCCTGGCCCATCTTAGGGGGGATGCCCCCCTAATCTTCAGCGGTGTCCTTATCTTGACCTTGTTTACGCCCCCAATCCGCAACATCATCTTGCAACACTTTACAGCGCTGTCAACAGTTCTGAACAGTGCAGATCGAGCACTGCGCTATACTATTGTGCTATACGAGTACATAGTGATATCTCAATAGCACTGCTTTGAACAGCATAGTACAGAAAACAGTGATGTATAGTATGCCTTTTACAGCGCTGTCTGTTTTATAATCAGAATTTCATAGTACTGTTTGGAATTGGCAGTGTATTGAACCAGACAACAGCCTATAAATTATATGATAAACGAGATGACCTTAATTTTGATATTGCGTATTTCCAAATTCGGATAGTAATATTCTATTGCACCCAGCACAAGTGGGGTGTATGTATGTTGATTAATTAGATAAAGGAGAGCATGCTCAACCTATTGAGGTCTTAAATCAAGACATAATGTTTTGGTGATAAAATTCCGAGGCCAAGGCTAAGGCTATACAAGTAAATAAACGTAGGTAACTATTTTTATGCTGTACCAAGAAATATAAATCACGAGTTCTAAATTTTCCACTTGACATGATCAGGGCTGTTAGATTTTTAAAAAAATGCACTAGACTCAAACTTTTTAATTTAGACTTAGACAACGCTGCCCCTTAGACATATTACGAAAGAGCCCCGTGCTATACTTGTGATTTTGGCTGGCGATATTGAGGTTAAACAAAAGTTTTGGAGATTTGATTTATTGAACATTGCATTGCCTTTTGTTTTGGGTGGTGTCAGAGGATACCATCTCCTGTTATGAGTGTGGACATTTTTTGAAGCTATGATGAGATATGTGGACAATGCCCAGAAAAATGGAAGTCAGGGAGGGATGTTTATTTTCCTATTTATACACTTAGTGATACCGATACTTAGTAAAATATTTTGATGGTATGTCAAACAAACCTATAGCAATGAAGCCCCGAAATGATCAAGGTATAGTTTAATTATTATAAATCCACAATAGTACACAAAATTAAGATACTTTTAAGTATTTCTCTTTGGATTTCTCCTTCGTCCCCGTTGTTTATGGCTATGTACCTATACAAATCCATCCTTTATATTCCCAGATTTATGTGATTGTAGGAATTTATGAGCGATTTGTCAATAGTTTTCGTGTAGTGGACATTGTTGCAATATTAAACATGTGCATCCATATATAAAGAATACATTATACAACTCAACTTCAATAATGTAAGTTTTTCGGGTAGTGTAGGGACAATTAATTAGGTTTGTGAATTATATTGTATTTTAATGTAATGATTAAGTAATTAATAATTATTAAGCACATATTTCGATTGTAAACTGCTCACATAATTCAGATATTTCCAAGTTAAGAAAGGATCCGTCATTCTAAATATATATAAAAATGCCCCCAGCTCATTCATAACCATTATGACATCTAATATGGTATTTAGTGAGGAGTTAATTGTGGCAAAGTGTTAAGGTGCAGCATCCTAAGTGTTATTGAGGTCATAGTGATCTTGTTAAGGTCAAGTCAGGGCATGTCTGAAAATGAAAGATTCTTGTGTGCAAAATCATCAGTACAAAATTTAGAATGTGAAAATATGATGAATACTGTTGTTAGGGACAACTCTGACCTTAACCTTTGACTTTGAAAAGGAGGTCAAACTTTCATATTTTTGTTTTTATTATTTGATTTGGTTCCATTGACTTAACATGTAGACAACATCATGTATCGACTTGATGATATCCTCATGTTAAGTCAATTATTCAAAATTTTTAATCCAATTTGTATACTTACAGACGAACACTTACAAAACAAGACAAGATAAGACGGAATCATCAATGAATGAACAAGTAATGGATTTTTGGGGGTTCAAAGAAATAGAAAAGAGAAACATTGTTGAATTCAAATTTTTAACTCAAATATTGATATGTATGAAATAAACAAAAGAGAAATTGTCACTCCAGACATAATTAGAAATTTTATAAGCTATGATTGTCCAACAAAGAAAAGAAAACATGCACTTCGGGTTTGTCATTGACAGTTCATGGAAGGTTTATTAGGTCAGTAATTGATAATTTTCCAATGACTTTTTTGACTATTTTTTGTTGACAAAGTCAGTTTATTAGGCAGGTAGTAGTGATAAGGAATATTTCACAGCTTAATTTAATCAATGTAGATTCCTTTTAAATATCTCTAATTTTATTTTGAATGCTAATATTTTTGTATTTTATTGTATCTTGTTCATTCTGAAAATCCATAAAATCTGATTGGCAAGGCGAAGTCCCTCCCCCCGGTCAAAAAGGGTACACGAACCATTTAACCGCGTCACATTTGAATTAGGTTTACAGTCATTCCAGATAGTAATGCCCCAATCAGTTTTCAGAAAATGACAAAAATAAAGTTTCTCCGTTTCACGTCATACCTTGTTATTTTTTGAGGTTATATGTCTACAGCATAATACTAAAAAATTGGCTTTTAGACTCTCTTGGTTTCGTAGTAATTTTGATTTGAAATATGTGGTACACATCTTGAGTTTTTGTGCCATTTTAAATTACGTTATAGGCACCATCTTAATTGATTTGAATACTTCTTAATTTATGACAGTGCTACCAAATAAAATGTTTTTCTACCTTAAAGTACATACATTAGGGTACTGATACTTATCAGGAGGATTAATAATAGTTGGGTTTTGAACTTTTTTGCTCAATTACAAATATTTTATACCTTTGTCCTTAAAATTGTAATTTCCATAATGTTTGTCAGTCATTCAATCATTAAGTGTAAATCTTTTGTGAACATTGCCTCAATTTAATACTTTTTAGCAGAGCAAAGGAGTATATCTCTGCATTGTTAAACACTAATATTGGATACCACCATGGTTATCTATTTGTAAAAAAAACTCAAGCATTGAACACGCCTATATTGTAACGTAGATTAATTGATGGAAGCTGACATTTTCAATTCAATCAGTTGTACAATAAAGTGGTTTCCAAAGAATTAACTAGGTCCGTTTAATATACGTTTTACATAAGAGAAACTCATTTTATGAAAACACGCTATGTTCATGTAAAATATAGCTTTTGCGTACTATATTCAAACGAACGGTAACGTAGATTAACATCTTAGAACATCAGCTTCATGTGTCATTAAATCTGATCAAGAATACATTACAATGAAAAAGCAAACAAATCATTACATATTGTGAATAATAATGGTGCTAAATGTACTTGGTATGGGCCCCTTATCCTAGCACTGAATCAGCAAATTTTGGTAACGCTTGTTAAGAAACTGTAAAGTCGACGTCATTAGATAACGAGAGCAAATATTGTTCAAAGTCTATGTAAAACTTAAACTTCTTAACTTTATTACTTAATTCAACATCTCTAGAGACGTCGCTAAAACAGAACTGTCAATGTGAACTAGTAAATGTTTACAGTAAAACGTATTTTCAAATCATATCTGTCCAAAACCACATATCAGACGTCATTGTCTCTTGATTCAATTTTTGAGGCAAATAGCTCATCATCAGTTCAGGTAATCTTGAACATTCTTGCATTCCCCCACTTGGGAATCAAATCCACTATTTGGGAATGAACGTTTGCATGTTCTACCAAGAGTACACGTTCTGACTACCCAGAGTACATGTTCTAGTGAAGGCCACTGAAAATACCCCCGTCTGTTAATCATAAATGATGTTTCATAGCACGCCATTCATATTAACTACTTTTCCAATGTACCAAGCACCATCATAGACTGCAGCAGTATAATTGTCAATCATGTACATGACAGCTGGTTCATTATCAAAGGGTTCGTCGGCGTCAGTGCTCTTACTCTGGGGTTCATTTTTGCACTTCACGAGGCAAAGCAAGAAACAAACCTATTTAAGGGGGAGCTCTACTCTGCGTGTGTGGTACCGCTTAAGGTAATGGTGTAACGAAAACATTTTTGAAAAAATTGATATACCTGCACATGTTATTTTCTGTTGAAAATAAAATATGATGGCATGTGTGCATTTCCTTGTTTTTCAGGAAAACATTATCTTCTTTTAATAAACTTGGTAAAAGGTCCATGGTAACTCAAGTGTTGTACAGAAAATTTGAGAAAACATTGGAAAATTGAAAAGACGTCAATTTTGAATGTTTTCATGAAATTTCATCATTTCCTTGAGTTAAAATTGACCTCTTACCAGACTCAATAAATGAAAACATTGTGACGATACTTTCCTGAAATTTTTACATGCCTTCATACTTTATTTTGTAGAAGAAAATAAAATCAGCAGGAATTCAAAATTGAAAAAGGTTTCTGTTTCACCATTTCCTTAACACGTGGCCTTTGTCTCTGTACTTTTCCCCATCTTTTCTCTTTTCTATTCAATATATCCTTTTTGAATCACTGCTCTTGATTTACCCATTTTCTGAAAGAATGTTCCCCTATTTGAAACTCTTAATCAAGTCAGAAAAGGATTAACAATAGTTTACGTTACCGAGCATAACGTAATTTATCCAACATTTAATATCGAATTTCACCAAATATAATTTCAAATTGAAAATTTTGTTCTTGCATCACAAATTACAAGTTTCTAATGAATGATGTGCTTCAAAATTATTATCCGAAAATTCCTTAAATGTTCTTTACTGAGATTGTGAATGGAGTCAGGTATTTATTTACATATTTTCAATCATTTTGATGGATTGTAGTCAATTGTCAGAGATAATACACAGCTTTGAGTCAACATGGCGCCATAGCGCACCAAAACTAACCATGTGACCCATTGTCAAGTCAAAATAGGATTGTTTCGTAAAAAAGGCTCGCGTAGTTTAAAGTAACGTTATTTAATATTTGTGACATTTTAATGCGAATCAAATATTAATTCAGTACTAACCGACAGAGTAGGGTCTCATATCGAGTCATCCAAGGCTGTAGTACAATATATGTGGAAAACAGTGCCTTCGTTCTTTGATTATGCTGGATATTTGGTAACGTAGTTTAAAGTCCTTATCCATAAGTTTTAAAAAATATTTTTTGACAAGTCACAAATGATATATCTTGGTAAATACATTGACATTCCATATATTTCATGAATATTTCATATGTATACTAGTATTTGATGTTGGTTTTAAGGTAAAAGTCACATTGGTATAAGCTCCATATCAGGTATACATGCAACAGGCAGTAACTTTCAAGAATCTAGCGACATTATTATAACGTGAAAAAGAAGAAGTTCTTGTTAGTATTTCGATTTGAAACTTCGCATGATTATTTCTTACACATCATTGTTGGCCGTGAAAATATATAATACGGATTGTGATAAGTAAAGTTAGTCTGTTTTTTCCATATACCTAAAAATGCTTCTTGGCGACAATAACGTAATTTAAGAATTTCTGACTTAAACTGATTGTAACACATGTGTGGACAAATTGAGCCAAACTTTTAGTGACAATATTAGGCACTGAACCATCCTATACAACCATAATGATTAACACTACAGACACGGGGCTATTTAAGAGAAAATACACGGCGACAGAAAAAATGTGATTGGGGCATTACTATCTGGAATGACTGTTAACGACGTGTCACATTTGAATTAGGGTCAATAACTGCATTTTGAGAATTTTGTGGAAGTTGTTTACTGTTAAGAGAATGACGTCCAAAACTTGCGAAGCCTTTAGAAATTACATTAAAAAGGTTATACAAAGATCTATGTTGGTTTATTTTATTTATATTTTTACGTTACATCATTATACTTTAATAGAAATATAGGTAAAAGAAAATACCGACTTCGGCTAGGACCTATCAATCGTTCACGTATCTTTTTGATTTATTGTCTCGCTATTGCTTTTATTTGAAATGGAACTGGTTGGAGTACTATTCCAGGAGGAAAGTCACGTGGATCAGGAGACGGACTTTGAGAGCCTTCTGGTGGAGTTATCGTGAATTTCTGCAACAACGTAGCACAAAAAAGGAATAATCTGGTTCTTGCAAATTGTTCCCCGACACAAACACGTCGACCAGCTCCAAACGAAATAGCTCTGAAATAAAACAACGATTTCTAACGATAGAACATCATTGATTGTATGGGGAGAAACCTATGGCATAATGCATCTTTAACCACTGTTCCACAACTGGATGACTCTAACTGCAGTTAGCTTCATTCAAGATGGTGGACAAAATTCGTTTGTTTTCGATAAATCTCCAATTACAGCCAAACCAAGCTGAATCTCGATCCCAAAAGATTCGCCATGCAAACTAAAAAAGATATAATTGTAAACAACCACAAATAAAGGCTCAAGCACCCGCGATATTAGAGAAATTGAAAGAAAACGGCTTCACTTAGAATGACTCTAACTGAGGTTGATAATGAAGCTAACTCCAACACAGATTTCACCATTGATGACTCTAACTGAATGGAGATTTATAATGGGCTATACAAATTACCAATAAGCAGTTCCGTAACCAGGGGAAGCTGGAGGTTCGGTAGTTTCCCCCTCCCTGGCCAGAAATTATTTCAAATTCCCGCAGGTTTTCACCACTCTGAGCACTTTTCGCACGATTTTCTTTACAAAACTATCAAAAAGCAGTAAGCACCCCCCCCCCCGATTCGAATAGCACCGGAGAATATTATCATTCTAAATTGTAAGCGAATGATGGATAAAAAGGGTTTCTTTTATCGTGAAGCAACAATATTGTATACAATGATGTAACAACCTGAATATTGAAGACATGCAGTTAAAGGCAATGTTCATTTTTATTTGTTCAGTGCATTATCAAAATAATATAAGTGTATACGGTTTACTAAATTATTGCCTATGACAGAATTCACCTTCTTATTCTCCCTTTTTTAAACTTCGAACACATTTCCTAATTAATTAGATTATTTGTGAGAGACTGTGTTTTGTCATACGCACTGGGCTTTGTCTTGTTATGTAACCACGTGACCACAGATGATGCCTTCCCATGATACTGGTGGTTAATTGTTCTGTGTAAATATTAAGTAGTTGGTGTGGTGTATAGTGTTGGGAGTGGTGGCTTAGACCATGTCTTGAGACATTACCTTTTATGGACACGCATGGTCATGCAATCTGTGTCAATTGGTTAGAGGTCTCGTTGATTGGACCTGGGAGATATGGTCCAGTATCTAAGTTTCCCCAAACCATCGTCAGTTCTTATGTGACAGGTAGAGTATATTTAGTTGATCCTAGGATGATGCCATTAGTGGTGACATCTCCTATTGTCATTAATGTAGAGCGGCCGGACATCTCGATCCTGTTGCGGATCCTCTCCCTTATATGTTGGTCATAATAAGGGCCCAAGATGTTTCGAACTCATGGGGGTATTCCATGATATGTTTCTCATCAGCGGCCAAAGAAAAAAGGTTAAGAATATAGTGAGGGTTACTTTTTCCTGTTCAGGTTACGCGTTTCGCGGGATTGTTATTGGTTTCTAGAGAATGTTGTTTTGCTGGGTTAGGTTTTGTTTTGGGATTGTCTCCAGTTGGAGACAGTTAGTTGGGTGCTAAGTAAATTGGTATCATAGTTTGGTTGTGTTTGTAGATTGTGCCTGATTGTATTTAATAGTGTAATTTAATTGATTTAGTATTGGGTTGTGACTGACTCTGTTACTGTGGTTGGTGTCAGGTTGTGTTGTAATGATTCAACAATGGGTTGATTTGAATTCGGTCTCGTTGGCTATGTTGTATTGTGTTGGTTTGTTGTTTGGTTGTGTTCCATTGTGTTAGTTTGATAGTCGATTGTGTTTTGGTGGTTGTTTGTCTGGTTGAGCCTGGTTGTGTTGTGTAAGTTTGGTATCGGGTTGTGTCTCATTAAGTTATGTTAATTTCAAAGTGGTTGTGTTATGTTGTAATTGTGTTGTGCTGGTCGGTAGCGGGTTGTGCCCAGTAGGATGAAGTATGTGGTTGTGTCAGATTGTGTTGCGTGATTGGTGTTGTTTTCAGAGAGTGTTGGTTGGGTGTTTTCGTGTTCCAGTTTGGTTGTGCCTGATTGTGTTTTGATTGTTTTGTGTAAAATTGTGTTGTTCTTCGTCAATAATGGGTTGTGTTTTGGTTTTGTTGTTTTATTATTTGGTTGTGCCAAATTGTGTTGCATATATTTGACAATTGGTTGTGTTTTCGGAGGTTAAACTAAGGTTGTAGTATTGGGTTGTGTCGTATTGTGTTGTTGGCTTGTAGTTGGGTTGTGTCTGGTTGTTTATTTAGCCTGGTTTCGAGTTGTGCCTTATTGTGTTATGTTAATTTAAAAATGCGTTGTGTTATGTTGTGATTTTGTTATGCTGGTCGGGGGGCAGGTTGTGCCCAGTCAGGTTAGGTATCTGGTTGAGTCCGATTGTGTTATGTGGTTGGTTGTGCCTGATCGTTAAATGAGGGGTGGTGGCGGGTTGTGCCCGATTATGTTAAGATAGGTGGTCGGTTGTGCTTAGTCGGGTGAGTTTATTTGGTTGTGTTCGGTTGTGTTGTATGATCTCTCTGTGTTGGGGTTTTAGTTTGGTTGTTCCTGATTGTGTTTTGATAGTTTGGCTTGGTTGTGTGGTTGTGCCAAATTGTGTTGTGTTAATTTGACAGTGGGTTGTGTTCTTGGTAATTGTGAGTTCAGCTGCGTTCCAATTCTTCAGACATTGGTTGTGTTGCGTTGTTGGTGATCTTATGGGTTGTGCTTGGTTGTAATGTTGGGTTGTGATAGGTTGTATATTGAGTAGCAGGTCATGCCGAATTGGGTTTTGGTGTATCGTGGAGTATAGATACAAGTGGTGTTGTTTTCAGAGAGTGTTGGTTGGGTGTTTTGGTATTCCAGTTTGGTTGTGCCTGATTGTGTTTTGATTGTTTTATGTAAAATTGTGTTGTTCTTCGTCAATAATGGGTTGTGTTTTGGTTTTGTTGTTTTATTATTTGGTTGTGCCAAATTGTGTTGCGTATATTTGACAATTGGTTGTGTTTTCGGAGGTTAAACTAAGGTTGTAGTATTGGGTTGTGTCGTATTGTGTTGTTGGCTTGTAGTTGGGTTGTGTCTGGTTGTTTATTTAGCCTGGTTTCGAATTGTGCCTCATTGTGTTATGTTAATTTTAAAATGCGTTGTGTTATGTTGTGCTTTTGTTATGCTGGTCGGGGGGGGGGGCAGGTTGTTCCCAGTCAGGTGAGGTATCTGGTTGAGTCCGATTGTGTTGTGTGGTTGGTTGTGCCTGATCGTTAAATGAGGGGTGGTGGCGGGTTGTGCCCGATTATGTTAATATAGGTGGTCGGTTGTGCCTAGTCGGGTGAGTTTATTTGGTTGTGTTCGGTTGTGTTGTGTGATCTCTCTGTGTTGGGGTTTTAGTTTGGTTGTTCCTGATTGTGTTTTGATAGTTTGGTTTGGTTGTGTGGTTGTGCCAAATTGTGTTGTGCTAATTTGACAGTGGGTTGTGTTCTTGGTAATTGTGAGTTCAGCTGCGTTCTAATTCTTCAGACATTGGTTGTGTTGCGTTGTTGGTGATCTTATGGGTTGTGCTTGGTTGTAATGGTTGGTTGTGGTAGGTTGTATATTGAGTAGCAGGTTGTGTTGGGTTTTTGTGTATCGTGGAGTTTAGATACAAGTTAGTGGTTTGGGGTATTATAATGTAGGTATATTCGTTAATTCTTAGTAGAGTCAATAATTAAATGTATTTGTGTTCATTATTAGTATATGCGATAGGTTTGGTACCTATTCATACATAGTGAGATCTCTGGTGTGAGAAGTGCACCTGGTATGATGGGCGTTAGCCTTGCGTTGTTCATTGGGTTTGAAGAGGTAGTTTCTTGTTGTTCTTGTCTCAGTATGCGGCAGTTTAGTTCGGCGCTTCTGTTTATATAATATTGCGCGGACGTTAGAGAACAAGCTTCCGGTTTTTGGAAATGCCTGGAAAGTGAACGATTTGCTTGGACTTTGTTTCTTGCCTGTTTTGTATCTTTTATAGTTTCCGTTGTGGTGCGTCAATTCAGATGAAATTTGTTACATCTTATTAGTTAGGCTTTGTAGAACATTTCGCTAGTGTTTTAGTGTTGGAGGTTGTTGGTAAGAACACAAATTCGACGATAATGTTCCATTTTTGGTGTCTTCGAACTGTGATTTCGTGCAATAATTGATTCTGTTGACAATGTTCCTTGTCAGGTAACATTGTAAATGGTTTCATTTTGTAGCGGGGGTTTGTGGCTACATTTTGATGTATAGTTTTATAGGTTTTGATATGGGTTTGGTGGTGTATGCGAATGTTTTGGTTGATAAACAAACACAGTTTGTCGCCGTGGGTTATGGCATTGAGATACGCAATTGATGGATCCTGAAATACAAAATTATGTCATCCTTTAACGCTTTCCTATATCCGTTGGAGTCTGGTCTCTGTATCTGTCTTCAGTAAACCTAAAATAAGAATACTGCAATGTTCCATGGTGGCGTTTTTTAATTACAGGTCGTGTAGACCATTCTTGCTTGACTAGCAAAACATTGACTTTCGGACGTTTGCGGCATTTCGCCTTTTACATCATATACTTTAATCCTAGAATACTTACAACATTTTACCATACCGTAAGCCTATTCATTTGGCCATTCAATCGTAAACTCAATTTTGTCTTGAAAAAGTAAATTTTCCAGATTTGTTGAAATTTCTACCAGAATTTGTCTGCTCCCCCTCCGTCCAATTTCTACGATCACCGGCCATGGGATTGAATAAAAACTCACTCCATGTCAAAATACAAATGGCTACAACCAATAACAACAGTCAATAACATTTAGATATCTTATAACAACAGACAGGGCCGTCCATATATTCATCCCATTGAGTTAGCTTCATTCCCCGTTTCAATTAGCTTCATTCCTACGTCATCACTAACTTCAGTTAGAGTCATTCTAAGTGAAGCCGTTTTCTTTCAATTTCTCTAATATCGCGGGTGCGTGAGCCTTTATTTGTGGTTGTTTACAATCGTATCTTTATTAGTTTGCATGGCGAAACTTTTGGGATCAAGATTCAGCTTGGTTTGGCTGTAATTGGAGATTTATCGAAAACGAACGAATTTTGTCCACCATCTTGAATGAAGCTAACTGCAGTTAGAGTCATCCAGTTGTGGAACAGTGTTTAACGCAAAATATAGAAAAATGTAGAATATTCACAAAATCTGTGGAATAGATCTAAGGGGTGACTTTCATTTTTTACATGACATCTTATATTACAGAGTAACCATAATTTTGGTAGTGGTTTGATTTTTACATGAACAATTATTTCCATATTGCATATGCCTTAATAATATTCCATTCTTCAGTCAACAGTAATGACAAAATATACATGTACTTCATGCAGTAAGTAAAATATCACAATACTGTAATTCTAATTCTAATTCTAACCAAAATTAGCTTGGGACCAAGTTATAGACATCGCAAAAGTCAGTGTACGGAGCCCGATGCAATATTGGAAGAAAACATAAAACCAATGCTGACTGCATCCTTTTCATTCAATGTACTAATAAGGCAAAGTACTCCTCTTTGCAATGGAATATGATTAATCCACAGGGTCAGGGAGTCATGTCTGGCCGAATAATCATTAATTTTGCAAAGTGGGGCAAAATTCAGCCCGGACCCAAGTTTCAATCATTGCAAAAGTCAGTACAAGGGGCATAGGGGATATTAGAAGAAGGTGTGGCAGGTGTGGCGCAGACAGTAAAGTGTTCATACTCATACTCTTGCAAGAATACATCCTATAGCCCTCCAAATTGCCACCACTTCCTTGCACATAAAGATGCGCTCATCTGTCCACGTCATGCATGGCCGGTTCAGCCCTGAGTCATTTGTGGGTTAAAGCAGAGAAAAGCAGCCCATAGATAATTCTTTCTAGAGGTTTAGCAATATCCGGTGGAGGAATTGTGAGCACAGATGCTCCTGAGATAGCTCCAAAAGAAAGAGTCACAACAATTCAAGTCAAAGTGAACTTCCATTGGCACTTCCCACAGTGCAAATGGATGGATTTCTTACCCAGCCATTACCACATGTGAATGAATGACATATCATTGCAAAGAGGAGAGATGTGGCTTTATGGTACATTGAAAGAAATTGATGTAGTCATCACTAGTTTTGTGATTTTACGAGGTAACTACTTGTTGCGTTTTTTGATACGCCCTGTATACTAGTCATAACATTGTTTTCTGTCAACTGATATTTGAGTTATCACCCAAACGGACAAACGAAGAAACGGACAGACGGACAGAAGGCTTTTCGGTATTCACCTCTATCTTCTTCGTTTGGTGATATAGTGAAGCGGTAATTCAAAAATAATTAATAAAATCTCAAATTTGTTTGCTTTGGTCTGATCATTTAATTCTTAGGATATAGATAAATCATACAAAATGTCTCATCATTTAGGGTTACCCAGTATTACACTAGCTGCACGTTTTGACATTTGCAAAATATATTTTACTAAGTATTCTCATGCACTGTCTCATTATCTATTTTTCTTTTTAAATTGGCCTGGATTGCCTTTCCATTTCGTCGAAACTTCATTGTTGATTTGCTAAGCTCCACGGGGTACCATCGAATAATTTTGGCAACGTACCGGAGAACGACATTTTACTAAGAAATGGCAATAATTTAGCACAATATATTTTTTAACTAGAGTTCTATTTTGATTTTGACAAAAGTAAGTATTCCATGCAATAACTGTTTCATTCATGAGTTTGTAGGAATTCTGTTGGAACCCAGTTCTGATCAAGTACGAAGTTATTGAAATCGGCGCAGACGGACTTTACTCCGAAAGATGGTTTTTCGATTATAACTTTTCACAACATTTAAGTATAGACTTTTGAAAAAAGTACAGAATAGTCCTTATACTTTTGAACAATTCTGTTATTTCTGATTCACACGACTCTGATTTGTTTAATTAAAAAAAAAGTTTTAAAAATATTACTTAGGAACGTAACCGGAGCTGGGAACGTAACCGGAGCAGATCAGTTGAATTATTTAATCAAAAAAATTAAAATATATGATTTAAAGCACATATACTAATTTAAAAACAAACGGGATTGTTTGAATGCGTATTTATTAATATACAGGGTGATCACTAAGTTCTGGGAATTTATGTGTCATTTCATTATTTTTCAACCAATTGACTTGAAATTTTCAAGGTAAATGGGGAATGTAATTTTGGGTTAGATAAAAGAGTCTCATTGTCATCTGATGTCACAATGGATAATTGTTGTTACTATAGCAACGTGACAAATGGCGTAGCGGGTCAAGTAAAATAAAAATGAATTCAAATTTTGCTTGATCCAAAAGTATGGTTAATAGATACCTATTTGGTGGACATATTTCTGTGATTTTTCATATTTTCAAATACTTCTAACTTAACTTAAGTAACATCTGTATTGTTATATAAGAGTGTACTTTACTCTATTTTCGTATCATTCATCAGCATCTCAAAGTCACAATCATGACTCAGAATAGCGGGGAGTTATCTTCCATAATGACTATGCTTCCTCCCATTACTCAAGCTGCCCATACTACTCTTGAAGAATTAGGGTTCACACAAGTTATTACTGCCCCATATTCACCAGACAATATTCACCAGATGAAGCACCATTAGGCTTCACTACATTTTGGGTGCTAAAGCATTATATGAGATGTCATAAGTTTGATTCCGATAGGGGACTGATTTCAACGGCTTGAGCAAATCAAGGGATAACCAAAGGGAGGACTGGAACACATCTTTATGGACTAAGTTTGTCAACAACGCATGTGCGTCCAGGCTAATGGAAACAATTATAAATGAAATGATCCTCTCAGCAATGAAGAATACTTCTGAATAAATGACTTCAAGAGTACTGTTCTGCCTCTAGTAGAAGCAACCATCTAGGCAAGATGAATATGTTTTGGCAGGAAATTTTCAGATTAACATCAGTCAAAATTTGCTGACCCGCAGACCACTTTTACTTTTTTTGTAATTACAATTAAATAAATTGTAGATGTGATGTGTATATGAAAGATTGCTTGTCAACTCAGAATTATACAATGTACACCTGCTGAAAATTTCAACTCAAATGGTTGAGAAATCTTGAAATGGCAGACCAATTCCCAGAACTTAATGATCACCCTGTATATGCTTTAAATCATATATTTTATTTTTTTAAATTATATAATTCAACTGATCTGCTCCGGTTACGTTCCCAGCTCCGGTTACGTTCCTAAGTAATATTTTTAAAACTTTTTTTTTAATTAAACAAATCAGAGTCGTGTGAATCAGAAATAACAGAATTATTCAATAGTATAAGGACTATTCTGTACTTTTTTCAAAAGTCTATACTTAAATGTTGTAAAAAGTTATAATCGAAAAACCATCTTTCGGAGTAAAGTCCGTCTGCGCCGATTTCAATAACTTCGTACTTGATCAGAACTGGGTTCCAACAGAATTCCTACAAACTCATGAATGAAATAGCCAGTGCATGGAATACTTACTTTTGTCAAAATCAAAGTAGAACTCTAGTTAAAAAATATATTGTGCTAAATTATTGCCATTTCTTAGTAAAATGTCGTTCTCCGGTACGTTGCCAAAATTATTCGATGGTACCCCGTGAGCTCGTATGTGATGAACTAAGATGAATGAACAATAAAATATTTTAGGTGCATTAGAAAACCATTAGAAATATATGAATATATAACAGACAGATAAGGTAGAAGGGTAATTACTTACTTGTTTCTTTCTTCCAAAGAAACCAGATAACCGTCATTATCCAACCAACGTTCTGGTTTAAATTGCCAAGGATCAGGAAACAACAAGGGGTCGTGGTGCATCGCAAATATGTTCGTCCAAACCTTTGGAAAAGTAAGTACATACAATTATTACAATAGTGACTTATGTAATGAAAAATCCTTTCGTTAAAAAAAAACAACCGTTCAAAAGGGAATTATGTTTAATATTTATCTAAATGCCATACACAGTTATCATTTAGAATATATAGGGTGATTATTACCTGTGTTCCCTTTGGAACATCATATCCTGCAACACTCGTGTCTACCAAAGTTTTATGGGGTACCAAATTGGCACATGCGTCAAATAACGTAACACTTCAATAAGCGTCGCTTGAAGGTACGGCATGTCATCTTTATCGTCAACACTTGGATTCCGGTCTTTACCGACAACTTGGTCTACCTCTTCTTGAAGCTTTGCCTGTATATCTGGATGCCTCATCAGTAGAAGAAATAACCCAGAGATTGTGCCTTTAGTTGTGACTAATCCTGCCCCAATAAGGTTCCCTGATGCAAATTTGATGTTATTATCCGATATTTTGTGCGGTGTTAAGGGGTCTCTTTGGGCTTTTATGAATACTCCAATGACGCTGTGGTTGGATTCAATGGATTCCTACAAAGTTTCTATTTAATTAAGTCATAAGGGAGTTTAAGCGTGCACTGTTCACATAGTAAACCAAGAAAACGTTTTCTTGCAATACTGTCCCCAATGAACCTATTTGTTTAACCCTAGAAGCCCTCGGGTAAAAAAGTTACACGAACACCTAAGGGGGGGGGGTCAAAAGGGCACCCCCTTGTAACGTTTTTATTAGTAAAGCTAGGATGTTTAAACTATTCCCAAATATACTTCATTCAATTCTCTACAACTTGGTGTAATAACTTTCACAACCATAATGATGATGTAATTATATTCTAAAGAAAACACGCATGGTAGAATTAGTGCTAGCTTTTTCCGATTTTGTCAATTGGAGCTGATGATTACATCATAATAAATTAATAACAATATAGTAAAGCTAGGATGTTCAACCTTTCCCAAAATATACTTCATTTAATTCTCTACAACTTGGTGAAATAACATTAACAACCTCGATGATGTAAGATTGCGTAATTTTATTCTAAAGACAACAGTATTGTAGAAAATAGTGCTAGCTTTTTCCGATTTTGTCTATTGGAGCTGATGATTACATCATAATAAATCAATTACCCTATGTGCAATTTTGCTGATTTTTTCAGAAAACATTTGTTATATCTGTAGCTCCAGCTACTGAAAATTTGAAGATCCTACCAGATGCCAATAAAAAGTTATTGGGAAAAAACCTAACAGGGGGGGGGGGGTGTCATTTTGACCCCCCTTAAGGCTTCTAGGGTTAAACCCGATCTACTTGAGTTCTTCTGAAAAAAGGACGATTAAATGAATGGTGTGTTGACTTAGCATGGGGACACTTGACTTCAAACGTATTATATGTACATTGTATCACATTGTGGATATACAGGTTGAAAGTCAATTGTTTGACTTTCTTGTTTTGTTTTGTTTTGTACCAAGTTTTGTCTTTTACCTTAATGCCTAGGTCACATTTGCCCCTATTCATCGGCGGCAACCCGGCCGATTGAGTATTCTGTTCAAAACTGAATACAATTGAGAACAGGATACTCAATCTGCCGGGCGTCGGTCGATGAATCGGACCAGATGTGACCCAGGCATTATTCACGTGTGCATACATATCAAGTACCAATATCAATATACCTCACATTCTTTCCGCATTTCCGCAAAAGCAACGTCTCTTGTTCTACGAACTTCCATCAGTAGTTTATAATTTTTATTTCCGAAAAACCGAAGCCATGGAAACATGTCTAGTTCCACTCCATTGCCTGCTGACATTACTCTTCCAGACTTTACTTGCACTTTCGCAGTTTGTTTGATGAAAGGGTGGTCGTCCGCAAACTGAACTCCACCTATCTAATAATACATGTAGAGCAACACCAATATAGTGAGGTCATTATAATGCAAACTTGAAAATAGCCAATTTTCCGTAGATCAAGGCAATGATGATGCATACGGAATTGTATTTTTAAATGTCAATTGATTCAAGATTCTAAGCCCTGGACATTTACATTATATACGCGTGTCATCTCTGAAGCCTAGGCCCCTCCTTTCTTCCCAAATGTGTTGTTCAAACTTTGCAAAGAACTTAAAGTGTGCGCCTGACCCGACTACGTATAGCACAGAGTTTATACTGGCGGATTAGACTAGTTCATTTTTTATATGTGTGTGAAAGCTTTCTCTTATTTGCGTTTTTTCGTTTAGTACGGTTCTGTTATAATTGCCGAGGTCATATAACCGGGATAAAACAATGATTATCGTTGACTGCCCACACACAAAACAAACGTTGAGTGAACAGTGTTATTACAAACAACAGGCTTTAGAATACAAAGTGTAGAGTGATAATAAGCTGTACACTACCACTGCTGCATGTACATATTACTAATTTACTAGGGCTCCCAAAGAGTGGATAGGGAGGTTGTGTTTGTCACTTTTAAATTTTACATTTCAAAATTGTCATTTTACATGTCATAATTTGTTGGTTTCATTCGTTTAGCCAATCAAAACATTGTAAAACAATAAATTGTCTGTTACGTACAATCAATTTTGTTCAGTTTTGATTTGTTGTCAGAATAAAGTTACGTTCATCTGAATCCATGTATCAAAACAAAAATCCTATTTTCACTTCAAAATACTTCAGTGAGATGAAGGCTCGGAATTGTCACATGCAATAACTTATTGTCGTATTCGTTATTTTATCTTCTCGATAGAAGCATTTAGTCGCACATTTGATGCCAGGTCACCTTGTCGCGTACCTCTTGGGGAACCCCACATTTATGTGTGTACTCATGGAAGTAAATTCCCCGGTGTAGCCGAGAGCCACAAACTTTTCAACAGGTTCGAAATGACCAATTTCTCTCATATATACTCTAAATATTTTATTATTTAGCACCTACGAAGTATTGCTAATAACCACATGTAATTTCAATAAGGAAACTTATCTGGCTACATGTAAATTCAATATCAACACTAGCTGTTCTCTCAACACGTCCTGGCTTACCTTGTGGTGACAAACCCTGGATTTCGCTATTTATAGTTTATCAACACCTGGACGCATGCGCATTTTATAGTTTAACGGGCACTTTAAGGCAACAACGCCTGTGTGGAACGAATCAGCCGCAATACATTGAGTCTTGAGCTTAAATTATTTTAGCACATTGCAAACTATTTTTCTAAGATATCGCCTACAATATATGAAAGCACTAAGATAATACTATAATATATTTTCAGCGAAATGATTTACAAGGGCCAAGTTGGCAAGCTATCAACGATGCTTTGCTACATGACTTATTATGGACTGGGAATGGAAATGGCATGCCAAAGGGGGAAACTGGAACACGCTTGAATATTGGTGTGGGGTCGGGTTCGGCCGAGTAAGCACCTCCTGCTGTATACTCCCCGCCCATATGCAAGCATATGGAACACCTGTGGTCTGGTGGTTGGCCACATATACAAGCAGGGTTCCAGTGGGATTTAGGTGGAATGGGTCGCCTTTGGGTTCCATGTTTCTCTTCTCTTGATCCATAGCCATTCGGAGCTGTCTTCTGCTGATAAGCTTATAGACTTAAGGGCCTTCTTGAGCTCTTTGGGTTGCAGCCCTAGTTTAGACAAAAGGGTTCTAACTGTTGTTGCTGGAAATCCTCTGCAGCCAACTTCAATAGGGAAGACAGATGTGTGCCAACCTCTGGACTCAGCTTCCTCCGCAAGGCCTTGGTATTTTGTTGCTTTTAACTCGTGTGAGACTTCCAGTCTATCCTCCCAAGGGACTGTCAGTTCGATAATGAGAATAGTCTTGGTCGAGTTTGAAGTCATATCTGGGCGTAGGGTCGTTACTGCCACATTCTGAGGAAAGACAAGTTTCTGGTGAAGGTCCACTTGGAGTTGCCAGTCTGTTGCGCTCGCTAAGATGCTAGACCTGGGCTGTGATTTGCTGGAGGAGTTTGCAGCTTTGGGTTTTCCTTCCCTGATGAAGCCAATGTTCTGGTGTTGCTGGGGGATCAAACCACTGTTGGCAACGCCTCTCTGCTGGTCCACATATTTAGCAATTTCCTGGAGCACTCTGTTGTGTCTCCATGTGAACCTTCCTTCACTCAAGGACTGGGGACAGGAACTTAGGATGTGACGTAGATAATGTTATTTGATGAAAGCATATTCTTACCACTTCTGCAAGAATTTTCAAAATCATCGTTTCAACATCGTCGTCGTAATAGAACGGCTCGTTGTTTTTAGCGGCAAATTTATCCATACACACGTTGACTTCACTTTGGGTGATCTTGACTATATTCGAACGTTCCTCGCCGTACATTTTGAGGCCTTGGAGCATAAGTTTCTTCATGTATTTAATTTTATTCGTGTAATCTTGGAATATGACATCGTCGCCTTCGTGTAATGTTTTAATTCTGAATGTGTCATTTGGTCGACCTAGAGAAATCAGGGAAATGTATTACATAAGGTTCGAACGGAAGTCTGATTCATAATGCCAGTGCGTAACCGAAAGAAATTTAATAGTATGCATTGTCCTTTACAATGCTTTATTGATAGATTGTACAATAAAATAATAACATTTTGAATCTCTCCACGTGGTATATGACTGTACTCACCTGCGAAGTCTGCCGATTTCGTTACAAGAGCTTCGTAGATGGCATCATAACTGTTAAGTACAACCACCAGTTCCCCAGCAAAGTTCAACTTAAAGATCGGTCCATACTCCTCAGTCCATTTGAGTAAATATTTGTGAATATGTTTAAGATCAATTTGGAATGCATTCCCGAAGATTGGTATTCCTTTTGGTCCTGGAATCTTTGCGATAATCCTTGATTTGTCATTTGAATTTTTTTTAATATAAACATACACTAAAAAAGCAAAGAAGCTTAGAAGAATGTAGAGGAACATGTTAGAACGGGATATGCGTGCAGGTCTGTATCTCTACACTAACTTCAATCTAGGTTAGTCAATATAACAAGGCCAATACGACATTTCTAACAGCGTTCAAGTGTATTAAAATACACTCTTTATAATAACTACAATAGGCGATCAATACATTTGCAAGTGATCTATATCTCCCAAACCATTTAAAGTTTTGTCATGAAACTTGGCAGAAATGAAGTACATAGACTACCAGTAAACATTCCAAAAGTCAAACGTTTATGTGAAACCTGTGTTTAAACATGGTTGCCCTGGCAACTGTTATTTCAATTAGGTACTTGTACCTGACGCACATTTAAAAGTCACGTGAAATGCTATTTCTATAAATATTAAAGAGGGAATCAGATCTAGCGAACAGGTTAAACCAAAATTGTTTCTATTATAGAATATTTTTGGCTCATACCATTTCTTGTTATGTTTTTTATCCCATCGAACGAAGTTCGGAGGGATATAGGGAACGCCTCCGTCCGTCCGTCCGTCCGTCCGTACGTACATACGTCCGTCCGGGCAATAACTCAAATACCGTTGGCCCGATTTTGTTCATATTTTGTACACATATACCCTTTGGGGGTAGAAGTTCTGCATAAAAGCCGATTTTCAAAATGGCCGCTCATTTCAAAATGGCGGCCATTTTAGTGCCGATTTTACAGTAATTTAGGTGCAATATGTAAAACTGTAATAGCAATATGTTTTAAATGTAAAAAAATTATAAAGGGCATTAATAATGCTACAAATGTAGATATTAAAGAAGCACATGGCAGCCATCTTGAAAAATGGCGGCCTTTACTCGTCATTTTACGATTTTTGCTGTAACTCAAAAAATAGTGGAGCGATTTTGTTCATATTTGGTATGTGAATACTATAAGCATTGCACACTGTCCTATGACACTTTGGGTAGAAGGCGGCCATTTTGAAAAAAAATTGAAAAATGGCCGCCATTTTAACATATTTTACTATAACTCGAAAAGTAGTGGAGCGATTTTGTTCATATTTGGTATGTGAATACTATAAGCATGGCACACTGTCTTATGACACTTTTGGTAAAAAATTGAAAAATGGCCGCCATTTTAACATATTTTACTATAACTGGAAAAGTAGTGGAGCGATTTTGTTCATATTTGGTATGTGAATACTATAAGCATGGCACACTGTCCTATGACACTTTTGGTAGAAGGCGGGCATTTTGAAAAAAAAATTAAAAAATGGCCGCCATTTTTACGTATTTTACTATAACTCGAAAAGTAGTGGAGCGATTTTGTTCATATTTGGTATGTGAATACTATAAGCATGGCACACTGTCTATTTCTAATGACACTTTTGGTAGAAGGTGGCCATTTTGAAAAATGGCCACCATTTTAACGTATTTTACTATAACTCAAAAAGTAGAGGAGCGATTTTGTTCATATTTGATATGTTAATACTTTAAGTATGGCACATTGTCTAATAAAACTTTGGGGAGTAGTCAGCCATTTTGAAAAATGGCCACCATTTTTTTGTGTGTCATTTTACAAGTACGTGTGCGATTTTTCAAAAATTTTAGAGGTGGCTACTTAAAAGCATATTATTTCTTCTGATGACAACTTGGCTAGTGAGCAACCATTTTGAAAATGGTGGCCTTTCTGGTGTGTTGTTTTATGGTATTTGCTATTCGTTTGTAAAAATGCCAGCCATTTCTGTTCGATGGGATTCGCTACGCTTTGGCGTTGCCGTTGTTCTGGTTTTTCTTCTAAAAATCACCTAAGTGCATTGCTTTATTCATATTTAGGAAAAGAAGATTATATAATAATGTATTATTATTACCACCTTGCCGGGGCAGTTCTAGGTGTTTTAGTGCTAGTTTAGAAGGCGTTCATTTTACTATATCGACCTGGGAACTGTGTGACCCTCGGTCCTCGGTCCAATATTTTCGGCCCTCGGTCCAATATTTCACTATATTGCCCTTAGAAATGACGTTATTGTACTATAATTCTATTATAACTATGGTTACCATCTTTATTATGAGGGAATTTCAACATTTCCCCCATCTTTGCACTATGAATATTTACCAATTTACAAAATATAACCAATCATTTGGAAGACATTGTATGTGTGATTGTAAGTAATATATTGGTAGGTCAATTGTACTCGCTGCTTACATGCAAGCGCCCCTATACAGATTCAGTCGTTAACCAACAAAGATTACACTTGTGAAAAAACTTCAATTTTTCACGTGGCAGTTAAAAGTCATTTTTTTAAATAACTCTACTCACACTCCGATGATAATAGAAAAATGCGATGAAATTTTTATATATTTGGTTAATATCAAGATCCAATTATGTATGACAGCTTATTTAAATAAATAATATCACTGGTGAATTGGAACAGTGATTAAAATAGATTTCATTTTCAAATTGAGGACCTCTAATAATTTTATAAAGTAGATGATGTTTCATATTGCTCTATATTTAGATTACTGGCTTTGATTCACAGTCTCGCTATTGCTTTAATTTGAAATGGCACAGGATGGAGTACATTTCCGAGTAAAAAGTCACGTGGATCAGGTGACGGACTTTGAGAGCCATCTGGTGGACAAATCGTGAATTTCTGCATCAATGAAGCACAGAACAGGAATAATCTGGTTCTTGCAAATTGTTCCCCAACACAAACACGTCGACCAGTTCCAAATGAAATGGTTCTGAAACAAATTAACAATATTAATTTAGTATTAGATATAGAAAAGACAGTGTCCTATATTTAATTATGTACTTTGCAAGGTGCTCATAATAAGGCACATATTATGTAATCCAGATCATTTTACTAAATACGTCAAATGGGCCAGATTAAATTAAGGTTGGATAAGTGATCAGTATAGCTACAATACAATGTATTTAATTAATGCAATAATAATACAATGTACGAGTATTTTAATACAATGTATTTAATTCAAGATAAGAGGGGGCGACTAACTTGTTTCGTTCCTCCAAAGATACCAGTTTACCGTCATCATCCAACCAACGTTCTGGTTTAAACTGCCATGGATCAGGAAACAATGAGGGATCGTGGTGCATCGCAAATATGTTCGTCCAAACCTTAGAATTAAGCATTAATTGTTAACTTACTTGTTCCATTCTAACCAAGTGTCAACTTATTTTATAGAGAAGACGAAGATTTAGCTATGAAAAATCTATGAAATCGCGACTGTATGTGAATTTGTTAGAGATTTGATATTTCATATTGTTAAGACCAAATTCGGAATGTGAAGTAATACAATGGGATTCTTTATCATTACTCTGAAATCTGTCATCATTTTTAGAAATAGGAAAAGTAAATAATACGTCGTACCTGTATTCCCTTTGGGATATCATATCCTGCAACGTTTGTGTCTGCCAGAGTTTTATGAGGGACAGCAATCGGCACATGCGTCAAATAACGTAACACTTCGATAAGCGTCGCTTGAAGGTACGGCATGTTTTCTTTATCGTCTACACTTGGATTCCGGTCTTTGCCGACAACTTGGTCTACCTCTTCCTGAAGTTTTGCCTGTATATCTGGATGTTTCATCAGTAGAAGAAACAACCCAGAGATTGTGCCTTTAGTCGTGGTTAATCCTGCACCAATGAGGTCCCATGCCACCTGAATGACGTTAGAATCTGATATTTGGTGCGGTGTTAAGGGGTCTCTCTGCGCCTTTATGAAAACTCCTATGACACTTTGGTTAGATTCAAGCGATTTCTGCAACAATAAGATATGCTATGCTCGCATTGTCTTCAAGTTATTGCTAGTAAAACAATATGCTTCAATAATATACATATTGCAAGGTAATGTTTATGAAGAAAGTAATGTAGATAGTTCTAAAGAATGCAATGTACGAGAAGGAATGCACTGTATACTAAATAACATAATCTATGTGGGGCCATATTTGATAAACAATAATATGCATGGTATATGATGTAATGCATTAAATAATGTGACGAATAGTAAAGAATGTAATGTTTGATGAAAGATGTTATACAATAACGAATATATAAGCAAAGCTCTAATGAAGACCGTGTGACACATTAAATATCACCTATTTCAATCTTTATATACCTCACATTCTGTCCGCAAATCGGCATATGCACTAGCTTTTAATCTACATGCCTCCATCATTAGTTTATAACAACGATTCCCACAAAAACGTAGCCATGGAAATATGTCTAGTTCTTCACCATTGCCCGCTGACATTACTCTTATAGATTTACCTGTCACCTCGGTAATTCGTTTGATAAGAGGGTGATCGTCAGGTAACTGAACTCCGCCTATCTAATAATACATACAGAACAATAGTAAAGACATATACCCATTTGATGGTGTTTGTGGTCTGTTTGGACCACAGAGCACAGTCTATTTAATATTAATATTAGAAATAATCATTCATTCCATATAATCCTAAATTAGTTAATCCCTTTCCAATATAACAAACCAGATGTAAATCGCATAGAATATCTATAAATGTTTTTCCAAAAATCTCGTTTAAATTCAGTCCTCTATAGAAACATACTCACTATGTAAAAAGCATATAGAAATGCTTACCACTTCAGTTAGAATCTTCAAGATCATCGTGTCAACAGCGTCGTCATAATTGAACGGCTTATCAATTTTGGCGGCAAATTTATCCATACACAAGTTTATCTCAGTTTGTGTGATCTTTACTATATTGGACCGTTCCTCACCGTACATCTTTAGACCCTGAAGCATGAGTTTTTTCATGTATTTAACTTTTTCTGTATAGTCTTGAAATATGACGTCATCATCTTCTGTCATTATTTTAACTCTGAAGGTATCGTTTGCTCGACCTAAAGAAATCAATGTCAAATTATATATGCGATGTTTGATCAGAAGCTACTCAATGCTCATTATCAATCAAGAATCTGTAATATACTTGCAGGCAAATTAGTTCTTTCATTCACCTACAAGTTACAAATGTTTACATTTTTCAATGGTAAATGCAATATCTTGAAAATACAGGGTGGGCCATGAGTATTGGACAAATTGGTTCATATATGACCAAAATGGGTAATTTAATTTGTTTAAATTAGATTCAATATTGTTGGGAAATTGTGACTGTTTTTGATTGTGGTGTCACATAGATTTTACAATCTAAATATGAGGAAATCCATGAAAAAGATAACACATACGTCTGTCCCTGTCTTTTTTACCATTAATAAGTCATTCTAACCTTAATTAACAATGCGCAAGCAACCAATTATGTAGGTCCATTTTCAGAGAAACCCCGGTAATCTCAGGCTTTTTTGAACCAATACACCAATAAAACATGACTTGTCTTCCTTAATTTAATGCATCACTATTGTGCATTTTTATGGCATTTTATTTTTCTTTGAGTCTTTTATTTTGTATGGATACTGACCGGCGAAATCCGCTGATTTTGTGACAAGAGCTTCGTAGATGGCATCAAAGGTGTTAAGTACAACTATCATTTCCCCGGCAAAATTCAACTTGAAGATTGGACCATACTCCTCAGCCCATTTTAGTAAATCTTTGTGAATATTTTCCAAGTCGACTTGGAGTGCATTCCCGACGATGGGTATTCCTTTAGGTCCTGGGATCTTTGCGATTATCCTTGACTTCTCATCTGTGTATTTTTTGATAAAAGCATACACCAAAAATGCAAAACAGCCCAGAAGAACGTAGAATAACATGATAGAAGTTGGTTTGTTTGCCTTAACATCCACTTAAGACTGGCCGGGTTTGTGAATATTCAGACTCGTCAAAGGCCAGTCTCGTCTATAGGAATGTGTATGCTTTTACACTCTTCATTTTTTGTAGCTGTGTTTAACACGTATACCAAATTATCTCGATATACACAAGTCATCTATCAAGACACAGGGGCGGATCTACAATTAACAATTTTTGTACTTGTTTAAAAAGTGGCTCCATTTCAAACTGTTGGTTGATTGTTAACTGGTTCATCTTCAAAAGACCTATTTTCAAATCTGCAAAATGACTCCTATTTCTCAAATAAGTCAAACATCTTCTGTATATTATTAACATTGCTTTAACATTTAGCGAAAATGCCTGTTTGTTATTTTTTAAATATACACTAATCAAATTCTTAAAATAAAATTTCTTTTTTATGACTTCCATGACATAATCCTGACTAATTACTACCCTCTTGCAAAATACACTTAACAGCTAGTAATGTGAACATTGTTTACCAGTTAAGACCTGGCAAAATGTCAAGGTTTTACACTGTTATCATACTGGCTTTTAGGGCATAGTGTTCTATATCCAGTGCAAAACATGGTCAATTCAAACATCTTAGCAATGATTGAAATCAATGCCTAAACAAATTTGAAACCTCTCTTTTATTTTTACACAAACGCTGCTGGTATACAACACATATTTTTATGTGTATTTTCCGTTATATAAATATCTTAGTCTGTATGTTTTGTTAAACGAATTAATTCTCGCCTCATTTTGTTTAAGGGTAAATACTGCTGCAGCGCATGTAAAGTACAGTATAAACGATTATGCGGAATTACACCGACGTTAAGGGGGGGGGGGGGGGAGTGGGGCGATTTTATTCACACGTGCCGCTGGTACAGCTTTTAAGACGCAATGGGCCGTTGTTAACCGTCATAAAAATACAATACGCTTAAAATGCGCTGGTGGATATCTTCCCGCGCAAAGAACACACCGTGGCGGCAAATTGTGAATGCTGTTAGATCCGTCGAGGTCATGCAATTTTTCGTACAATTCTCATGTTATTGCAAACGTCTTTATCTGTGTAATGTAAATGGCACCGTTTTAAAACCTTGCATAATATTATGGTGGTTGATATGTCAGAAATATACCAGTTATTAAAGCCAGAGTAAAATCATGATGCATTTGCTCTGGTACTCCCGTTCATTAGATACGAAAAAATGTCAGTGGTTTAAAAAGATGCATATTGTGTAGCCTTCGCGAAAGTGAAACAAGTGTGTGAGAGAACGGTACAACGAAGACTGACGTAATGTTCAGTTTACAGGTTACTGTCACATCAATAGTACAAGATTAGTATATCTTTGTCATTTTCAATCAATAAAATAAGGTGAAGGTTATATCCCTGTTGCGCTCGACATCTAAACGTTTAGATGCCAAGCGTTTAACTCTGTCAAAGTTAAACGGTATCCGTTAAACTTTATGTTTCAGGCAATATGATCTTAGGCTTTCTCATCAATATGCTGCATTGACGGACGTGGAATTGGACAACGTGATCGCCCCAATAGCCGAAAACCCGAATCAAGGATACAGGTCTGTAATGGGACAGCTTCAGAGTCAAGGTATTGTAACAGTTAGGCCTTTTTGTGGATATTATGGTAGTGTGGACTAATAGACCTCTGTATACCTTGTGGGTTACGTGACACACGTTAAATGTGTTTGCACCAAAGATTCAACAGAACATTCAATTATATTTATTACACAACAAACGATATATTGTGGCATCTGTAGGCCCAAAATTGTGTACATCAAATAGCAAAATGTCCTTGCAATAAACTTGAATAGAACCAATGTTCGTTGTTGTTGTTGTTATTATTATTATTCACTGTGAGTCTATACATATAAACATCAATTGTGGGATTGGATTGAAGTCACACAATCAAAGTGATGAAAAGAACATCCAGTTCCATACAAGGACCAGTATCTTGTCTCGTGCAGGTAGCCTCCTCCGGCTAAGTCCAGTGTATCCTCTTCTCCCTCAGGTAGCCTCCTCCGGCTAAGTCTAGTGGATCCTCTTCTCCCTCAGGTAGCCTGCTCCGGCTAAGTCCAATAGATCCTCTTCTCCCTCAGGTAGCCTCCTCCGGCTAAGTCCAATGGATCACCTTCCTCAGGAAGTCCGTTCGACAAAGTTGCTAAAATAAAGACCCAGCCTCAGTGAGTCCGTTCGACAAAGTTAACTGGAACGTCTTCTCCCTCAGGCAGCCTCTTCAGCTAAGTCCAATGGATCCTCTTCTCCCTCAGGTAGCCTCTGGCTAAGTAAGTCCAATGGATCACCTTCCTCAGGAAGTCCGTTCGACAAAGTCGCTAAAATAAAAACCCAGCCTCAGTGAGTCCGTTCGACAAAGTCAACTCGAACGTCTTCAGTGAGGAAGTTTCACAATAAATTATCTAAGTCAAACTTCAAATAGAACAAAGTCGAAGAATATTTCAAAGTGTGAGTAAGAAATATTCTAAGTCCAAGTTAGTATAAACGACTAAAATGTATAAGTCAAACTCCAGGTAGATGTACCACAGAACAAAGTCAAAGAATATTAAAAATGATTAAAATATTCTAAGTCCAAGTTATCATCTACAGAAAAATGTACAAGTCCAACTCCAGGTAGATGTATCACAGAAACAAAGTCAAAGAATATTTCGAAGTGTGAAAATATTCCAAGTCCAAGTTATCATCTACAGCTAAAATGTACAAGTCCAACTCCAGGTAGATGTATCACGGAACAAAGGCAAAGAATATTTCAAAGTATGAAAATATTCCAAGTCCAAGTTATCATCTACAGCTAAAATGCATAAGTCCAACTTCAGGTAGATGTATCACAGAACAAAGTCAAAGAATATTGAAAATGATTCAAATATTCTAAGTCCAAGTTAGCATCTACAGCAAAATGTACAAGTCCAACTAGGTAGATGTATCACGAAACAAAGTCAAAGAATATTTCAAAGTATGAAAATACTCCAAGTCTAAGTTATCATCTACAGAAAAATGTAAAACTCCAACTTCAGGTAGATGTATCACAGAACAAAGTCAAAGAATATTGAAAATGATTAAAATATTCTAAGTCCAGGTTATCATCTACAGATAAAATGCATAAGTCCAACAAAATTGATTTTGTCCGAGTTTAACCTCAAGTAGATTCGTCTACAGCCAGGTACATGTGAACAGAAACAAAGTCAAAGAATATTCCCAAGTGCCAGTCAGAAACATTCTAAGTCGAAGTTATCATGTACAGAAAATGTCAAAGTCCAACAAAATCAAAATCGTCAAACATCGAACGGAGCTCTGTCCGAGTCAAAAGCTTGCTGTAATCTGCCGAGTTTACATCGGCGAAATACTTTTATAGGCTTGGTGACGTCATCACTTTTTGGACAAGATTTCAAAGCTAAATAACAAGTTATTGACGCCATATCCCGCTTTAATATTGCTCACACAACAAGATAATAATTGGAACTTAATAAATCTAACAGTAATTGATCGCTACTTACTCTAGTTTTACTTCGGTTTGATGGAATAAGAAGCAGGAAGTAAATTCCAAAAAGTGACCTCCATTTAAAGTACCCGATCGACTACCCGATCAACATAAATTAAATCTTAATTCGATGACAGGAAAACGCTATTTCACCCCTGTAACTACAACTACAGTACTGCAAACATTGCTACACGTTACGATCTTAATGATCTCACATGTGAACCACAAATCAAGTGTAATGAATGTCTAATAACGAGTACACAGCACTAAATCAAAAATAAAAAATTCAAAATTTTGTTACAGTATGGTTGTTCAAGAGGAGAGATTACGGGAGTCACTTCATCGTATTAATCCAACAGGAGTAGCTCTGAGGTATGATTTGCTCAATGTGGTCATTTTTAGGTAAAACATAACTTGTAAATTAGGCTAATGGCAAATACAGCAGTTTGAATCTCGATAAATTCACCAATTGATAAAATGCGGCGGATTTCTTGGAAAACATTATTATATTAGAGATGGTAAATTATACAGGTCAGTTTCATGTGCTGCTTACAATCCCCCCCATAGCGCTGATCATACCTTATAGTTATTAAACAACTCGATTCGCCTACATGCATTCAAATGAGAAAATGTGTTTATCCTTATTTTCAATTATTTGCCTGTTAAAGTGATATGGCCTTCGTTTAAGGCATTTTTAGCAAAATCTATTGAATATCACACGAAGAGCAATGTCTTACCTTGCTACTGGGGTAACTTCAGCTCATATTACTCAAGGATAGCGGAGATTTCTCATATTGAAGTGGGTACATTGAATTTGATTTCACATCGCCCACTTCGAATTTTGCACTCAAGTTGATGACGTCACCAAAGTATGTTTGTTTACACATTTTCTTGCATTTCGTTCAGAGCAATATTGCATATAAAACTTTGGAGAAAATGTGACCTACTTTTGAAAATAGTAATTTTCGTGTTCTGTACATAGTGATTATATAATGTTTTATTAATTATGTGTTCCTAATATAATAGTTATTCTTTTGCAAGAAAGAGATTCAGTGATTGTATAGAAAACCGTCAGAAAGAAGTGGAACCCAGAATATGAAAAAATTCTCCTAACCTCTCAATTGGAATAGCTCACAGGTCATAGCCTCGTTCTGATTATTAGTCACATGACCTTTGACTAGGGAATCCCAAACAATGTGCAAGTGTGAGCAAATTTATTTCTGTTGAAAACGCTGAATTGTGAAGTCAAAACACAACCAAGGTCAGTAAAAACGATGTTTATATGTACCAATGTGCTTTGGGATTCAGTTTTTCTTATTCATATGTAGGTTGAACTAACATTTCATCCATTCCACATTACTTTAACAACGTTTTTCAGAAAAATCACGTCATCAGGAATATGCAGCAATATTTTTTAAATCCATATGCATTTCAGGTACCCTTTGCATTCGTTTGACTTCACTTCTTAAAAGAGAGCTTCGTGTAGTTTAACTAGACTCTGTACGCAGGGTACATTTCAGGTGAGACAATACCCTACATCGAAGGACGTACAATGTGAAGAGACTCCCAATGCCCCGAGGCACATTGATGGAAACCACAAGCTATATTTATTTCAAATTGTAATGTTACCATCCAAAAGATGACCATTAAATTGACGATGTATAAAATTTTCAAAATGTTTTGATGATTGGTTTAAGAGAAACGCGTGTTGAAAAAGTTCACCATATCGATACTGCTCCTTTGAATTTTAAATATACCAGGTGTTCGAAAATCAAGGATTGTGAGTCTTACGAGGGTTGATCCAAAAGTTCTCCACCGTTTTATCTAAAAAAATTATTTCACAGTGGATTTTGTTCATACTTGGTCAGGAGCAACACGTATATGATAGCTTGGTATTGTATTAATATCATTGAAAAAATATAATATTAACTATGTCATTTGGTTACCATAGTAACAGGACAATGAGGTGGGTGGAGCTGAATAAAATCACTGTTTATTACAATTTCTTGTCAAACAACGTAGTATTATTACAGAGATTTAACCAGGGGTTTTAACATTAATGAAGGCTTTTATTTGATGCAATATCCATGTTCATTCTCTCTCAAAATAGACCCCACCATGGACTATGCATTTATTGCATCATTTTATCCAATCATTGAACACATGCCGAAGTCCATTCTTAGTGACTGAATAATACACACTTTTGGTAAAAGCTTCAATCAGCGACTCATCATCTGCAAAACGATTCCCACGGAGGGACTTCTTTGCTTCGGGAAACATGTGGAAGTCACAGGGAAATGTATCTGGGGAATATTGGGGATGCTTGACAAGTTCTGCTTGTAAATGCTCATGTATAACTTCTATTGTGATGATAGCCCCATGTTTCATCACATGTTATTATTCACTCTCGGAACTCATCGCCCTCCTTGTGTTTCACAATAAAGTCGATGCAGGTTTCCACTCTAGCTCTTTTTTGTTCAGGTGTAAGAATCTTTGGGATCCACTTCGCACACTTTCGTCAATATTGTAGGTCATCATGGACAATTCTTTGTATTGTTCCATAGCTTTTACATAACTGAGCAGATATTTCACGAAGTGTTATTCGCCGATCCTGCCAAATGAGGTCTTTGACTGCCTGGATCCGGTCCTCATTGCGCACTGTTGGCCTGCCACTTCTCGGATCATCCCCAAGACTCTCTTTACCAAATGAAAATCTATCATACCACTGATATACTGTGCTTCTGTGTGGTGCATTTTCACGATATGCTAGTTGTATTTCTTTTAATGTCTGTTTCCTACTTTTGCCAAGAAGCAAACAAAACTGAATATCACTCCTTATTTTCAAGTTTAGCTCTATCTTTCACAGACTTTGGCTCCAAAAAATGGCTTGAAATGATCACAGGGCCAATTGACTGGTATTCATATTTCTGTGACATCAGATGAATGTTTACTGTGGCATCACAATGAAAGTCTATAGAAATGATGCAGGAGAAACATGTTGTTGGCAACAGGTACATTGTTGAATGAAATAGCATTGGTAATATATGTCTTGGTTTAGGCTAACCTAAATATGTATACATTTTATAATTCTGAATCAAAATCGAGCTCCACCTACCTCATTGTCATGTTGCTATGGTAACCAAATGGTTATGTTAAAGTTGTAATTTTTCAATCATATTTATAGAACATTAAACCATCATATATGTTGCTCCTGACCAAGTTTGAACAAAATTCACCAAGAAATATTTTTTTAAGAACAAACGGTGGAGAACTTTTGGATCAACCCTCGTACACTGCACTGTTCTTCTTCAAACTTGTTCCATATAAAGCAAAATAAAAATGCCTTAAAATTAAAAACATCTTCTAACGATATAAATTGTATTGACTTCAGTGTGAATCAAATGTGCCCCGATGTTTAGTCCCTGATTGTTATATTGTCTATTGTTGGGGGGGGGGGGCATTTTAGATCATGTTTTTTGGGATATATAGGGTGTATATTTTCATGACAGGTTTACACTTAAAGTTTGCTTTTTTGCTTGTTTTCTTTTCGGTATTTAGTCTTTTCCATTTGGCGCCTGTGCTTAGTTATTCTAAAGACATGCACACGCAGAGCATCAAAAAGTCTGAAGATTTCATGACATGACAAATGTCTAAAAATATAGAACTAGCATTTTTTTTATTTGTATAAATCAACATTATTATCAATATATGGTACACTCTAAAAATATTAGAAAGAATGCATTTGATTATATTTAGTGTTCTTCTGTAAATCAACATGTTATTGTCTGGTGATTTGCATTTCTTAATACTATTATATAATATGAGACACATATCAAAAGCGCATAAATAAACTTTTTTTTGTATACTTGTTTATAAATGTGCTTATGTTTGAAAACTCCAATTACAAATTGAGAAATAAAAGATACATACATACATACATAATCACATTCAATTTGTGTTTACAAATATGTGACCTGTGACATCATGCTTCTACGCGAAGCAATCGTTGCTTTTGATTAGGCTAATGTCTTGCCCATCACGCATAGCCATGTAAACGTAAGCATTCCTTTCAAATATACGATATAATATATATAAAAAATATTTTATAATATATATAATAAAATATTTTATAGTAATGTTGTAGTGTTCCGTTGTGCGGAAGAAAGTTCAGACAAGTACTACAACGACTCCATCGTCGATCGTCGATCTTATGTTTCCATTGTCCTCGTGAAATAAGTTTTACATTGTTAACTTGTTTTTGCCACGCCGTTTGTGTGCAGCCCATGCCTGACTTCCATTAGACTGCCTACAGACCGCTCATCCAGCTGGACCTCGACTCATTAGGGTTGGGTGACGATCTGCAAGTATACTTGGAGTAAGAATAGTTCACTTAATACGTGCACACGTACGTCGATGTCGATGAATCGACGTTCTGTCTCGTTACGTAAAACTGATTACAGAAACAGCCACGTAAAGCGTGTATAAACATTGAATTTTATATTAATTTAAACAAATGTACTTGTACAAGCAAGATTTTTAAGTATTATGAGCTTGGGCACGGTAGAGAATGGCTGAGCACAGGTTGCCCCTTTGGTCACGAACTCTAGCCCTATAAGTTAGCACTTAGTGTTATACCTTCGTAAGTCTTGCAATCGAATAGCACCTACGCTCTGGCTGGATACCGGGCTAACTCGATAACCTCAAATGGTTGTTTCAGCCATGTCGACTAAAGACGACCGCTGTTATCGATCGTATACAAAACTCGTGACATTGATTGTACAACACCAAATCTATATCCTCAATTAGCATATGTATAACAGGCCCAGGGGGGTGGGGGATTCGATCGGACCCCCATGGCCAAAAAGTATTTCAACATTTTGCAGTTTCTCACCACTGTGGAGACTTTTCGTGTGATATGAGCCATTTTTGGGGCATACTTGTCAAATGTGAACCCCCCTGGACATTTTTGAAGAGTGACCCCCCAAAATCAAATCCTGGTTATATATATATATAGTTATAACAAATACATTGAGTACTAACTTGGACTTTTGTTTCCTAGCAAGCATTGAGTTGTATCCGAATACAGACATATCCTTATCATTATCATCATTGTAAGAAGTGGAGTTGACTCTCTTCCTCCTTTGCATGGCACAATAGCATGCAGCAATGATCCCTATCGTACATACAGCACCGACAGCCACGCATACTATTATAATTATGGTGTTGGTTGATTCTCCAACCGTAGAGTCGCCACAGTGAGGACCTCTGTAGCCTGGCTTGCACCTGAATTACATATAATGGTATGATCTGTATACAGGGTGGACCAAAAAACACCACTTTTCTTAAAGACAAAACAACTTTTTTATTTTCCAACCTACATACCCCAAATTTTGCAGTTATATAGTGCCAAGGGTTCTTAGTAATAATATAATGTAACAAGTCCTTCAACTTGGATTTTATTTGATCTAAAAGGGGAGTTCAATTGGTCCGCAACCCTAATTGATGATATATTTTAGTTTTAGTGGCCTTGCTGATATCGCAGTATCAATGAAATGTTAGCTTTTAATTGGCAGCTTTAGTTGAGCAATTGATAGATAACGTATATATCAAATGTCTTAAGATCCTAATGCAAATTAAGGTATACGATCCAAATAAATGCGTTTCGTCCGCCTATTGACAGTCATTATTTATACTTTATATCTCATATTCGTAATGAATTACATAGTAATAGTCGCGTGATTGTTAAAGTCGATCATATGAAATAGTTTTCGAACAACATACTTGCAAAAAATTTTCTGATCATCATATATACATTCTCCATTTCCACCACAGTCAATGTCCTGACAAGGATCTACGCCTAAAATAGAAATTCTACTTAACCGAGAAGGATATAGTTAATTTCCTCAATATTTTATGTGGAGTGTAGACATTAAAAGCATCTTATTTAACACGTTAGACCAGTTTCATTAGTACTGATATCCAAGATCAAAACGAATATGGTGTATCTCTATGCATCATACATGTTAAATAATATACTAATACATTCCAAAATAAACTTGACATATATCATATTATGCAGTTATAACTGCTAAATACTCACTAACAACTAGACTATCATTTTTGATAGTAATATTTTCTTTCTCTCCTACGATCGTGTAGTTTACAGTCTCCAAGTATTTTTTCAAAACATCACAGGTTTGATTTGCAGTTTTATTGTCAGCCTTCTCTGTCAATATAACTCCTAGTTTCACTATTACACTGCCAGGCCTGCAGGTATGAATGTATTTTAAAATAGAAGTACGAATTAAACGTATGACAGGTTCTCTTCGAATCTTGTCATCACTAATTTCACGTCTGAAGCAGGGATTAAAAAGAGACGTGTGTGTAAAATGATAAGAAATGTCTGAAATCCAGTAACTACAAATATTTAAAGTAAATTTGTGATTACAATTTGACTAAAACTAATTATCGTATGAAAAATGGGACATACAGGGTGTTTCATAATGACCGTCCCCCCATCCACAGGCAATACTAGATCACATGCCCCCATAATCTAAGCTATATACCGTAATAAAGCTTATTCAATTTTGAACTCATGGGCCAAATCTCTTAGCATGCCTGATCTTTGGGAACATAATTGTTGAACTTGTATTTGGTAGTCACTTATTTTGTAGTCCCTCAATTTGTATATTCCTGATGGATTTAAAGAGAGGAGATGCTATATAATTGTATCATTCTGGTAATTTCTTTGAAATATTAATACTTTTGTTCTTCAAATATCATTAGGATATATCCTCAGCATCCATCAAATGTTGAAAGTTGTACATTACTATAGATATAAGTGTACTAAGGCATGGTTATCATAGCTTTTTGCAGGACACATGGCAAATTTTGAAAAAATGTTGCTCTCAGATTCTATGCTAAAGGTAAAATGGGTACCTTTTGTAGAGATATGTAGCAAGTTGTCAAAACTGATGAGCTTAATCAAAGTTGTTTCATATGATGTATAACATATGTGGCTCTGCTATTTAGATTGGTGGTTGATGGGGGGGGGGGGCATTATGAAACACCCTGTATATTTTGTTAAATACGAACCTTAAATTGTCTATGATGACTTTTAAAAAATTTGGCACTCCTTGGAATGCATCGTTTAACTGAAAAGTAATGCAGGTTGTTTAATAAGCATTAAAGGCAGAATCAGATCTATGGATGGGGTGAAAAAATTACAAGCAATATGTACAATTGACATTCCAATCTTTTCCTTACAATCTCAAATACAATATCTCCCAAAAGATTCACGCTATGATATTTTGTGAAGTTATAATGGATTCTAAGTGCAAAAATGAGTGAAAATGTTTAAATTCTCCCAAATAATAAGAATGTTTACCATCCATTCTCATAGAAAAATAATAATACGTTATTGTAAATATCTTAAGTTTTCCTGAAATAAAGTATGCACTTTGGTGATTTTAAGAAAATAGACATGAAAAGGAATGACATGAGACAGAAATATTCTAAAATCGAAACAATTTTTCGTTGGACTGCTCGCTTGATCCGATTCTCTCTTTAAAGTGAAAACATAAGAGCATTAAAGTGAATAATTTACAAAATTGCTTCAATATTTTAAGACTTAAATTCACCATTCAATTGAAGATTTCTGTCGAAGAAATATTCTAGAGAATTCATCATCAAGAAGTCACCAAATACCACAAATTTATCAAAATACCACTGTGCTTAGAGTTTGGAATGTCGTTTTCAAGGCTATCTAGGATGTGTGAGATTACACTTACTAGTCGCAATATTGAATCTGTCAAACTGCTCGTTTCAGAAGCATTGCCGTCACTAAACACAGCCTTCCACAGCATATCCAACTTCAACAACAGTGAAAGCAACCCAGCTGAAATTATTTGAAATACCTGCATTATTCATTAGTATTATAGTACTGAACAAAAATTTCAAAAAGTCTTTAGTTAAGCTTTAATATCCTGTTTAAAAACCTATATTCTTACTTTCGAAAATGGATTCTAGCAGTTCTATCCAACATGAATCTATTTGTTGATATTCATTAGTATTATAGTACTGAACAAAAGTTTTGAAGAATCTTTAGTTAAGCTTCAATGTTCTGTTTAAAAACCTATATTCTTACTTTCGAAAATGGATTCTAGCAGTTCTATCCAACATGAATGTATTTGTTGATATTGGATAAACTTGAATTCTTCTGAGGAAATGAGGACTTCGGCAAGACCGTCATTAACTTTACATTGAGACATATATGATAGTGTCACCATGCTAAAGCATTGGTCAATGATGTATGATCCCATGTTGAGTTAATGGCAGAAATACCCAGAAATTAACAAATATCAGAGATATATAGCGACGTGATATCAGCTTTATAAAAAATGTAAAATGACTGTGTATCTGGCGGTACATCTTGGTTATTTTGAGATGTAGCATTTCACAGTCCGCCAATGTACAGTTCATAAAATATAGTGTAAATATACACGTACCAAGTAAGTCAATTATGTACAAGTGTTGGTGAACAATCATCCACGATATCTTATATGTTTTGGTCTGATCGTTTACAATATTAATCCAAAACGTATTCTATATCAGTACATGAAATATACCTTACGAGTAACGTATTGAATACGTAGTTGCAATATAGAATATGTTACATAGCTAGACTTGCAAACATATGGGTTAGATGCTTAGCACATGTTTCGACTGTTTTCTAGCACCTATCTGAGCCAAACTTTGGCTGGGTCAATTTATAGTCCCCGAGTACGGACACCCGCGCACTCTATATAGATTCATACTCACTTTAACAAACACAGTGGCATTAACAAACACAATATCATTAACAAACACAATGCCATAAGAGCCACTTACAGTTATTGGAAGGAGTTGATGACCAAGAAGTCACGATAGGCTTCATGGATGTCGTTGTGCTAGGTGTTGTTGTATAAGTATCTTCAAGTGTAGACCAGGGGATCGTAGTTGCTGTAGCATTCCTGTGGATGTCGGTTGCAGTTTGGTCTGTTTGGATTTTTTCATCTGTGGTTTCGGTCATCTGGCCAGTCCTTGTCGCATTTGTGGTGCCATCAGTAGCAGATATCATTGGGGTACCTTCCGTATGGATTATCCTGTCGGTGGTTTCGGCTGTGTATCCAGTTCTCATATTTGTGGTGCCATCAGTAGAAGATAGTATTGGGGTACGTGCTGTATGGATGATTCCACTTGTGGGGTTGACTGTGTTATCGAGTGGCGTTGCTTTTGTTATTGTATTTGTAGCAGATGTCACCGTAGTATATTCTATATGGACTGTTGCAGTTGTTGTTTCGGCTGTGTGATGTGATGTCATTTCGTTAGTTGTTATATCAGCAGTTTCAAATATTACATCAATAACACTAATACTTTTCCTTGATGGAATTCCATCATCTTCAACTCCAACGTGAATAGTTTGTTTACCAATCAATGAGTCTATATTTTGAACTGCTGTGATAACTCCACTATTGCTATCAATTTGGAAGTAGTCGGAATGTTCAAGAAAGCTGAACTTTATACCATCACCGTCTTCATCAGTCGCAACGATAGTTGAAATATACTGTTTGCCATATATTGGGAGTTTAGCCTCAATTGATGTGATTGACTCATTCACTTTTGGATCATACTTATTGAGGGGACCAACAATAAATGTATAATTGTGAAACAATTTATCCAGGGACCATGGACAATGGTCAAACAAATGCCCAAATAGAGAATCCTCTATATGCCATGTCATCCAGGCATTTTCTGGTCTTATAAGTTCCTTTCCATCGTGTCTTATTACCCGAAGCAATTGGTTGTCAGCATCTAGTTCAATGTCATGCTCAAAACGTGCGTACAACCAATCAGTACAGTTCCAGTTAAGAGGGACATTGACATAAATATATTTATACTCTTTACCTGACCAATGTTTGTTCACTCTTTCATATGTCACATCCAGACTTACGAACACTGGCTCTTTGGACTGATCCTTGCTACTGTATACAACATCAGGCATGTCCAATCCATCAAGCTCATCATTAACAAGGAAATCACGGAAGCCATCATCAGACTGTGTTATATTACTTCGAATTCTTACCAAATGAATCAAGTCATGGTACTCAAGAACATCTAACACTGAAAGTTCAGGGTCACCGAGGGGATTAATGTTCTCAAATGTGGCCGTGTAGTTGAAAAATTTTCCCTTTAGAGAACATTCAAGAAGCCATCGGGCAGTTTTCGTCTGATGAGGTTCTATATCACCAAATTCTATCGTCAAGGATGGTGATTTATCTTCATTACCCAATTGTGTAGCGATAATTGTGAATGACACCAATAATCCTTTTTCATTTTCGATTATTTCAGGTTGAGCTGATGTTATCTTAAACTCTTTCGCCATACCATTGCCCGTATTTGTTATCATTACAGCCAAGCTAAATGGAATAGATGGTTCAACCACATCTTTTGTGAATGGATCATCAGCTTCAACGTACTTCTCATGAAAGTAATGAATGTGCAGGCGTGGGTCTGGTTTCACAGTAACACTATCAGCAAGCAGTGGAGCAGTAAAATTAGCTCCATCAACAAAGTAGGTGAGCACACCTCCGATGTCGTATAGGACGTCCTCAGTTGGCGCAGCTGTTGAATAAGGGATGATCAACCATTCGGCAGACCCACTCTTTCCTTTGGCTAGACTCCCCGAGCCATCCACCGCGCTGATTCCGTTTAGATCTGGATCTCCTGTCAAAAAAGGTGTCGGTTTCAAGATTCAATCCAGACTAGATTACATTTTGTTTTGTATAGAAGTTACCAAAAGTACAAAGAAACAAAGAATCAAAGAATATTGCATAATTGTAAATGATGTATTCCAACGAATCAAATGAAATACGATTTTATATAGCTATATAACCTTTTTTATTAAAATATATAACCAGTAGCTATGAGCTCTGTACCTATTGCAAAATGCTCTATCATATGTTCTTGGGTTACATCTTCCGATTTGAAGATGTGAAGCTCCACTTTAATATTTGTCAGAGCAGAATTCTCGCCATTTTCAATCTCTAGCTTCCCATTGAATGCATCCCGTGTTAGAACTGCTTCTTGTACTATTCGTATTCTCACTCTGGCACACACACCCTTTTCTTTCTAGATGAAGTTATAAACATATGTAAAAGTACCATCAATATCTAGGATCTGCACTACTTGCATTTCATTGCGTACGTGCTGTATTACAAGGTGAATATATACAGTAACATGAGAATTAATTAAAACGCCTTTGAGAATATGATGTGCGTAGCTTTGATATTATTGTTGAGTATTACCTTTTCATTTTCGAACTTATCCCTTACTGCCACGTACGCATTGTCGAACTCGGCGAACACGTTGTCGAATCCTCTCTGAAATGTATAACTCAGTGATTCAATTTTGCTCCTGCTCCAGATACGCGAATATAAATACATATGTCTGATTCTTTATCACCAAAGCCAAAAGTAATGCATGATCAATAAGACATACAGATTTACAAATAGAACAAAATATTTTCTCCTTATTTTTATAAACGAACTTTAAAGAAATTGTCATAAGGTTTACCTCTACAGATTTATGATGTTCTTCTGTGAATTTCTTCATGGTCTTTTCAAGCTGCGACTTTGAAATTATATCAAGACTTGGCGAAGGTTCTGTCACACCATTCCTCCAGGAATTAACACTGTTGTTCCATCGCTGAAGGAACTCGGAAACCAAGTCATGATCTGTTTCATTGATATATTGTAACACATTGGCTGATTCGTTTAAAGATAAAGATGTCCCAAGATCGCTGTTGTCAGATATACTCTCTTCAAACTCTTGATACCATAGCCCAAGACCGAGGTTAAACCTAAAAAACGAAAACAACAAGCTGCGATAATATTTAGAAGATAAACCAATCTAAAAATCAGCTTTGTGTTAACAGTTGACACAATTAGATTAAAATGAGCCCATAAGTCCCGAAAATGGAAAGACCAGAGTCACGATGCCCATGTCAAGCAGCGTGCCTACTAGGCACGCAGTTTGAAACGCTGACAAACTGCGCGCATATTTCAAAATGGAAGACGGGGAGGACACGACTCCCCGAAAGAGCCAAAATACGAAAAATACAAGGTTAGACTTGTTCTAAAGATAGTACCATTCTGTGAAGATGGACTTCATTTACTCATAGTACTTAATGTTGTTCCCGATGTAAACCTAGTTATCTCAATATAAGGGTCTTAAGTAACTTCTGTGTTCAAAATTTACAATGTAAAGTTATATCTATGTCTTTTTATCGTCATTTGCCGATTATTCAGCCACTGTGTCTGTGTATGCTGGAATATATAGGATCACTCCATCTGATTAAAGCAGCATAGTTTTTGTTCAAAACGATAATACGCCATAAACGTGATTTAAACATTTTTCTTGTCAAACTGCGCGCCTATATTCACATGTATTTCCCAAACTGCGTGCCTAATATTTCCAAACTGCTTGCCTATCCAAGCTTGTTTTGTATTATTAGAAAACGTAAGCGCCATATGTAAGGCACATATGTGTCTAATAGTAGAACCCCATAATTGAAACACTATGAGAGTCCATCCACCAAGATGGTGATCTGAAAATAAAAGTTTTTTTCGTTCCAAACTTAATTGTCACTTGTATTATACATTTTGACTTTCAATATGAAAATCTCATAAAATCTGACGATAAAGCAAGGTTTCCAAAGCTATATGAATGAAAAACACCTACACGTGCCTCTGTAGAAATTCCAATGATAATATGTAGTTTTAATAGTGTATGCGCACATTTTGTAATTTATGGCTAAAATAGGCGCGCAGTTTGTGCTTTATTTCTTTTTAATCTCCTGATTATCTGTTTTATCTCGAAATATTTTGAATTATACATGATAAATGCGTAAGGAATTAAATATAAAACGAGTCTAAAGTATTTGTCATTTATGTTTAAAGTGCTAGATCGATTAACGTATCTAAATTCCCGTTAAATCAGTGACGAAAATGCCATAAATCTACTTATGTTTTAAAACTTAGATTTATTTGCACATAGTTTTTGCTAGTATTTGCAAGATTCGTATAATTCGCCACAGAATGAACGCATTGAACAAGAAAACAATGCAGGATAAATGTCTTTAAATTACGATTCAAAATACAGACTCCAACTTAAATGATGCAATGTTGTTAGGCACGCAGTTTGTGATCGAAACAAACTGCGCGCATAAGTTGGCGCGCAGCTTGACATGGTCACCGTGAGAGTTATAAGAAACACCTTAGAGCAAAATTTTCGTCAACCAATGCTTTCGCAGATTTGGAATACAAGGTGTCATGGAGAATGTAGAAATGGGGCTAATCGAAGTACAATTAGAACTTGTAATCCCCTACTGTCAGAGTTCAGATCCTTGCAAATAATCGTTTTGTCACATCCCATCACTAATTAATTTTTCTTACATTTCCTCATTCCCAAACATATGGTAGGATAGCTGATACATGTCATAAACTATGGAATTCACTGTCGCCATGTTGATATACACATCCTGTATTGTTGAACGCCTTTTCCTATTCCCACTTCCTGCCGCTGCAGCAGCGTTTAGTTTTGGGCATTCAGCTACGATGATATGTAAACAGCTACAACAATCAGATTATTTTAAAGATCAAAGTATGAGCATATTGGATCTTTAACGCAAGTGTGTTCAAATTGCTTTTAAAGAAAACTTCACACAACAGGATCTTAAGAGGTTCTGGACAAATCATTTGATTCTGGACTTGTCATATTTTTTTTTCAACGAAATCACATCCAAGGGTTGAATTTTTATTAGCTATTTAGAGAGTGAGTCCTGCCTAGTATTAATTTCAATAAAAAAGTTAAAATAGAACCCTATTTGAGAGTCAATCTAATACTTACATTACATTGATAAATTAAGGCAAATCCTGAAATATTTTTAAAGTGCATTTTTTTATGAAATATTATATGAAATTCAATTGAAGGGTCAAGATAAAACGAGCTAATTTAGGTGAAAACCCTTACATGATGATGTGTTTTCATAACTTCTTTCATAAAATTCCATCAAGGGGTGAAGATAAAATGATCGAATTTAAGTGATTTAAGGATCACGAGAATATGTTTTCTTTGATATTTTCTATGAAATCCCATCCAATGGTCAAGGTAAAATTTTGATTTTGATTTGGTCACGTGTTCGAAAGATCCATATAAGGCCCATAGAACCATATAGGAACGTCATTTTGAATGTCACGTGATAGATCCATATAAGGCTTTTAGAACCATTTATGGAAAGATGAGGGGAAGCCCCTGACACCTGTTTCACGATTTTTATGCACTTCATTATTGTACCGAAGTTTGCCGATTCGATTCGTCGTATTTCGGAATCCTGGTGACAATTTTATACTCCATTGGAGTATTTTTGACCTACTTCTTATGACGGAAATTCCCGAACCTTGTTCGGATTAATCCGGATTTCCTGACCTACCTTATCTACCGAGATTTCACGAGTTAACATTCGTCTCATTCCGGAATCCTGGTGACAATTTTATACTCCATTGGAGTATTTTTGATCTACTTTTTCTGGATTTTGCCCTACTTATTATATCTTGACAACAAGCAAATCAAAAAGTTCGACATGAAGGGGTCTCGATCAACTAACCTAGCCTATGGAAGCCAGGCACGCTAACCATTAGGCCAACGAGCTACCGATATGAAAGAACAAAAGTATTATATATTTATACCGAGCGTCAATTCAAAATGATCCTCACTTTTGTCTCCACTTAAATACGACTCGTCAGTTGTATCCAGAATAGTAGAACGCCTATGGCGCTAGTGAATAACCAAGTCACAGGTGAGTGGTTCGTATCCCTCCGTGATATACTATTTTTGTTTTATTAAATACGACAGAAAGGAGCAAGGTGTAGGTTGAAAACAGGACGTTAGTTTGTTTCAAAACAGTTTGGAAACATTAATCTCTGATAATTTAAGGTTTTCCACTCCTGAAGGGCCTCTAGATCTATGAAATTCAATAATCCACTCAGTAAAAATACGATTTCTCTGCAACCTGATGTCCAATCAAGATCATTCAAATATATATGTGTTCCTGACACGTTTGGGCGTCCGGGAATAAAATTGCTTGTGAAAACTATTTACAAAAGTGTTCCAGAGACCCTTATCTACTTGGCTAAGGTTTTATTTGAAGATACATTGCCTTATTAGCAGGTAGAGGGGCATTCAGAACACAGAAGCAAATGCTATGTTGAAAATTTTCTATATTTCAATTTGAACCTGTGTTTACATGTCACGTAGGCCAGTGTTTTATATGGGGATTATATGTACTTTCCTTGTTTACATGAACGTAAATCATTACATGAAATCTGCATTCTTCTGGGTTTAATCTGGGTTTGTATTGTCTTATTGGGGCTTTTCGACTTTTAAACAAACCCTACCTAAATGGATTGTGTCTCGGGAACGTTTTTGTAAATAGTTATTATAAACAATTCTAAAAGAATATCACATATTTTTGTCTTCCCGATTTCAGTCATGAATTACGTCAATTTCTCGTGCAAACATTGGATAGACGTTGTCATAACCGGATGCCCGAACGTGTCAGGAACATATAGATACTCGAATGATGTTGATTGAACATCAGGGTTGAGAGGAATCGTAATTTTACTGAGTCACACTACCCTACCTCGATAGCGCATGCGCGAATTTTTTGGCTTTCAACCACGTCGCTTTTGAGTATTTCGACTGCTTAGTCAAAAGGTTAATACGTTTGGTGCTCGGAGTGAGTCAATATTGCTATACGCTGAACTTCAATGGTGCAATAGTGAAGTCCATGTTCCAAGTTATATGATAGCTGAAGAAAGAATGTAAATAATATCGTTTTAAATTTTAAAATATTTGATATGTCATAGTACACGGTACACAGTTGCAAAAGTTGATCAATACAGGGTACAAAGAATGTAAATTGCTCAATAGTACAGGGAGCGAGAAAGTAAGCTGATTATACAGACATACTATGTCCCGATCTCATGTACATTTACGTTGCAAACAGTGAAAATTATGCTAAAAAGGCCGCCTGTTGATGCTTTGAGGTGTCATCAATTGTTATTTAATTCAAATAAAGTAAACATTATTTTGTAGATTTATATTACCCCTTGAATGGTCTATTTCACTATCGTTCTCAGAAACCGATCATTTAAAATATTTTGTTCAAAATACCATCATGCCACGACTTGAGAGCATTTTGTTCTTCACGATTTGCTGTAGCGCTGATATTACATCGTATTTCTCTATTATTGTAAAAAAAACGAATACCAGATCGATGTAGTATTAGATGACGTGTTGAATGTCAGATGTTTTGGATGGTACCTGCTCCGGTGATTTTGCATTTAATCATGAAACGCTCATCACAAGACACCTCGAAACAAACATTATCCTCTTTGTGACAAGAGGAAAAATGTTTCACAATATGTTATGCCTTACGGCAAAGTAAAGATACATTTCTGGGATGACGTTTTTTGCATCTTAAGATTTTAGAAAAACAATTAATTCACAAAAATACAGTTGAATAACATACTGGAAAACGTATCCACATATAACACGATGACACGCAGTTTAAATAACAGTTAACTGTTGTTTTTTTGTTACATATCAATGTAACATTTTCGAAGGGAAACTTACATGCTCCCTGTACGTTGATAGATTTACTGAAATGTATCGTGTATTGCATTGAGTTTTGCTTCACTGCGCCAACTATTATCTATCTTTGCCTATAGTTGTTTTTTGCCAACAACATTCTACAAACTGCTCGATGAATCAATTCTATGTCTGGTAGAATACTAGAAATAAATGTAAAATGTATTTTACGTTCAGAAATATGGAATTAAACCCACATCCTCCATTTGCAACTTAGCTGTACCCTGTTTCCCTTTTAAACGTGGTCACGTGGTAGGGTAGTGTGTGAGTGGCTTCACGAAAAAATAAGCAGCACTTTAGGCCACCTAAATACAACTCGTCAGTTGTATCCAGTTGGAATCCCAGCGTAATGTTTTTAATTATATGGTTGTGCTTTGATTTTACGCTGAAAACATTTATAACTACGTCAACTTTATATTAAAACATTTATTATCTTTTCAGTTGTATTAAAATGTAAAATATGATATATGTCAGCTTATTGCTTTCTGGAGAACAGTCAAGGTTTAAATTTGGTACAATGAATCGGACACTCATGTAAATCGACATGGTTATAACATTGAACTCAATGCAGTAAATTAGTTATTTCTATGAATCACAGCGGGATTGGTTTCATTTTATATGATTGCCAACTCTGGCGTTTTTTTTGTAAATGCTTTTGACCGCTGTAAATGTGAAACTGATACAGTATTATTCAATTGTTTTATGTCTTGGTCACATTTGCTCCGATTTTCACTACGGCGCCCGGCCGATTGAGTATTGTGTTCAGAAATGTATTCAATTTTGAACAAAATACTCGCAGCAAATGTGATCCAGGCATTACACAGCGGTATTTCGAACATACTATTGTTGCTTTACCACGACCTAGCCAATTTTAAAATCATACTCCTTATTCAAATCCAAGTAAACGATCAATGTCTAGGCATTTGGCGTTTGATGATACTATGGCCCTTGGCGAATTATGATTAGATGAACCGAGGTCAACATTAATGTTTCTTGTACAAGGTCATCCCAAGGTCTAAGATAAATATTTAGGTATTTTACGTTTCAAGACCTTTGGACAAATTCGATTCAACGATGTATTAAAGTTAAAATGTATACAGAGATAAAATAGGTTATCTCCTATCGTTTCCTTGTGTATACGTTTATGTCTCTGCGTAATAACGCAGATGCGAGCAGGTAGTTACCAATCTCACCACAAGGTGGCTCGTTCGGGTCAGATAGCATGGCGGGTATGGTAGAAAGTTCCCTTTAACTTAAAGTACATCTGTTTTCGTGGTTCAATTTTCATATCACCCTTAAAATGTATCTAATAGCAATGCAATTAAAATATGTCCAGTGAACGAAAATGCAATACAAGAATAGATATTTCACTTTTTGTGATTTTGTAACAATGGGGTTATTTTTTGTATATGTAACATGGTCATTTTCACATTTTATATTATTACTGTTCATATTAATCAATCCCTATTCATCTCAATATAACAGGTCCCTAAGTAGGTTGTTTGCAGTTTTACTCTTTTAATACCATCTTCACTTTTCACCTTGAGTTATTCAACTATGCAAACTGTGTCAGTTTTATATATCTATTGTTCCCCTATATGGTCTTTCTCACTCACATGTAGCTGAGTTTGCATTGGGTGTTGGCTTGTCAGTAGTTGCTGCAAGAGTTCATGTTGTACATTACAGAGCATTGTATTTTAAACATTGAAGTTTGAAATATACTATTTTATATATATTTTAATTTGAAGTTCGAGTTATTTTATTGCCACCCACGGGCCTTCCACACGCCCATTCACATATAACGCTTTGAAACAACTTTAAAAAGTGAGCAATGTCAGTGTTGTGATAATAGAGAATTTTCGTTATAAGTTGTTTCAAAAACGTATACGTATACTTATAGTTTAAAGGGTCTTGTCGAACTAAAATCAATTCAAATTGATTTTCATAATCTGTACCAAGTGGGGCATAACTATTCCCGATATAGTCAAGCTTCACCATCAACTAGGGACTGCGAATACAATGTCCTTTGCTAGTGTCAATTATGAACACGATAAACTAAATTCTAGTTGACGGGTCCTTGTAGTGTACGATAAACAAGACCCTTTAAAGTGAATCACTACACGAACGAGTCGATCATTTCAAAGTTCTCATGAAATTATAAGGTCAATTTTTAAGTTTTTACGTATAAAAGGGCCTTTATACGCAGATTATAAACTTACAGAGTTGGATCTCCGCATAGTATATGTGTGGACCTACTGACCAGAATGGCTTATTAAAATTAATCGGCTGAATAGGCATAGTATCCAATCAAATAGCTCGACTCATTCATTAGCTGAACTAATTCTCCCTTCGTTATTTCTACAAGGTGATTCAAAACGATCATCTACAAAAAATATATTTGAGAGTAGATAAATCTGTAAAACCCGTGTGCTATATCAGCCTATTTGATTCTAGAAAACACATATGACACAACTAAACATGCTTTACATCAAGGGGGTACGGATGGTATGCCATTGGCCCTTTTTATTACCGTCCTAGGAGATATTTCCCGACGAATTAGGAAATTATGAAACACCTTGTTTATTGGGTTTATAAGTATAAGTATACGTATAAGTTTTTAAAAAACTTATAACGAAAATTCTCTAATAACGCCCCTCATACCTATTTATTACAGGTCGTGTAGACCATTGTTGCCTGATTTATAGCAAAAACATTGACTTTTGCACGTTGATGATGATGATGATGATGCGCCTTTTATAATAGATCTCATATCTTAGAAGCGTTTCAGTTCAAAAAATACTAGAAGACCTTACATATTTTGCCATGCACTGCGCCTATTCATTTGGCAATTCAGTTGTAAATTTTATCTTGAAAAAAATAAATCTTCCAAATTTGTTGAGTTTTCTTGCAGAAATCGCCTACCCCCCCCCCCCCTCCATCCATTTTGTATGATCACAAGGCGTGATTTAAGCTGCTGATATTCTTCTTTAAACGAGCCGGATTTTCAAAATCTATAAGTTGGACTCCCTTTATAGAAGCTTTGAACTGAATTTGCACTGCTTAATGCTGACATTTTATTGTTTATCCATACATTTTAAGAAAAAATGTATAAAAAAGATGTTCAAGCCAAATGTTGCCCTAAAAATTCAGAAAATGTAAAAAATTTCGAATTTTCTATGTACAGGCCTTGTTGCCCCTTTAAGAAGCTTAATATGTAAATTATCTAATCAAACACTTCGTCCACCATTTTGAAACACTAATCAATCCAATCTGTGCTAGCGATTCATAGGGCGAGCCAGTGGGATATTTCCAGGGTTTGTACACACCTGGAAATGTCAGGGAAATTGACTTGATTTTCCAAGTGCTGGAAATGTCAGGTAATTTTAAAATTAGGTCAAAAGGGCCAAAGATTACCGGGAATTTTAAAACGGTAGACATGTCAGGGAAATGTCAGGGAAATTTGTATCAGTGTTGAAAAAATAATGTTCCAGAGATTAATGTTTCCAAACTGTTTTGAAACAAACTAACGTCTTGTTTTCAACCTACACCTTGCTCCTTTCTGTCGTATTTAATAAAACAAAAATAGTATATCACGGAGGGATACGAACCACTCACCTGGGACTTGGTTATTCACTAGCGCCATAGGCGTTCTACTATTCTGGATACAACAGACGAGTCGTATTTAAGTGGAGACAAAAGTGAGGATCATTTTGAATTGACGCTCGGTATAAATATATAATACTTTTGTTCTTTCATATCGGTAGCTCGTTGGCCTCATGGTTAGCTATAGCGTGCCTGGCTTCCATAGTCTAGGTTAGTTGATCGAGACCCGTTCATGTCGAACTTTTTGATTTGCTTGTTGTCAAGATATAATAAGTAGGGCAAAATCCAGAAAAAGTAGATCAAAAATACTCCAATGGAGTATAAAATTGTCACCAGGATTCCGGAATGAGACGAATGTTAACTCGTGAAATCTCAGTAGATAAAGTAGGTCAGAAAAATCCGGATTAATCCGAACAAGGTTCGGGAATTTCCGTCATAAGAAGTAGGTCAAAAATACTCCAATGGAGTATAAAATTGTCACCAGGATTCCGAAATACGACGAATCGAATCGGCAAACTTTGGTACAATAATGAAGTGCATAAAAATCGTGAAACAGGTGTCAGGGGCTTCCCCTCATCTTTCCATAAATGGTTCTAAAAGCCTTATATGGATCTATCACGTGACATTCAAAATGACGTTCCTATATGGTTCTATGGGCCTTATATGGATCTTTCGAACACGTGACCAAATCAAAATCAAAATCAAAATTTTACCTTGACCATTGGATGGGATTTCATAGAAAATATCAAAGAAAACATATTCTCGTGATCCTTAAATCACTTAAATTCGATCATTTTATCTTCACCCCTTGATGGAATTTTATGAAAGAATTTATGAAAACACATCATCATGTAAGGGTTTTCACCTAAATTAGCTCGTTTTATCTTGACCCTTCAATTGAATTTCATTGAAAAATGTTTCATGAAAAATATCATGTTATGATTTGTATTTAAATAAGACCGTTTCATTTAAATACTTGCTGGATAATATTTCATTAAAAAACGCACTTTAAAAATATTTCAGGATTTGCCTTAATTTATCAATGTAATGTAAGTATTAGATTGACTCTCAAATAGGGTTCTATTTTAACTTTTTTATTGAAATTAATACTAGGCAGGACTCACTCTCTAAATAGCTAATAAAAATTCAACCCTTGGATGTGATTTCGTTGAAAAAAAAATATGACAAGTCCAGAATCAAATGATTTGTCCAGAACCTCTTAAGATCCTGTTACACAGGTAATCATATAATGTTTTTATCTTTCCATGCAATAAACTGGAGTTTAGGTGTTGCTTTACTAGTATCAAAAATACCAGACTATCGTTTCCTTTTAATGTTGTAGTGGTTATGCACTTATCTTAACCTAAATAGGAACATACCATACTGCCTGTCCAGCGGGACCAGGTAAGCAATCACCCCCGATTTTAAGTGCACTGTTTCCAAGGCTTTCTCCTGCCAGACTTTCACCTGCATAATACACAATACAATACAAAATTTAAATGAAAACATACTCATCTGTTCAATCCGCTCAATGATCTAATTTGAAATTAACATGTACATCAAGATTGTCCTACCGATAGCCTCGCCTATAGCTTTGAGGCAGCGATACTTTGAACTAAATGATGCAGCTGCATCAACCGGTTTGGGAATGTATCGTATCTTTCTTTTTGGCCCTGCCAATTGACAGCTAAGGTCATCGTCATTAATACGACGTTTACGTCTGGAAAATAAATTTCAAAACAAGACGATAATATCAAAACCATGACTTCAACCATAGTGCATCTTTGCGTCGTATATCTATTTAACTAACCAAGTATGTAAAAATAAGCCTTCCGTCAAATTAGCGATGAAAACTAATCAAAGCTGGAAATTCACCTACCTGTTACCGATTGCGTTTCCTAATGTGTATGCCCTACGTCCGATGGAATATATAGGTCCAAATCCGGGTATCATAGGGAGGAGGCAGTCAAGGATTAATTTCTTGGCACAGTCACATGACATTGGTGTCACAGCCTCATAGTTACGTACGCTGGTTGAAACAGATGATCCACCAGGGCCTCTCCCACCTCCTATATATTACAAGGCAATCAGTGCATAATAAAGATTTTATCAAATTAAGTTAACTCTATTATAAATCAAAGGAACATCAAATTTTTATTATGGTTACAATACATGAGTGGTTCCAAAATAAAAGGAATATGTCATCTTTGGTGAGCACATGTCCCTTTAATTATCCCTAAATATACTAGTAAATAAAGATGTCCTGCACATAGATTTTCCAATGCATGATGCATAATTTTGAACATATAGAAAAACCCAAAGTGAGGTACATGCCTATGTATCCACCACCTCCTCTTCCCCCTCCTCTTCCCCCTCGCCATGATCCCCAACCACCACCACCACATATATTAGGAGGAATGCGGGACATATCTTGGCGGCGCTGTAAGACGACATCAAGACCATTCGTCCTAAGAACCCCACAAAGGTAGTCCCAAAATAATTTGATTCCAAAGGCTAAGCACAGAAGAAAGTTTCTTTTTTGTCTGGGCTTTTCATTAACCTTAACTGGCACTATAAGTGTTGTGTTGGCTTCAATATCGCCAATAGTTGGAACAGTCTGTAAAAAAAAACAGAGCCGTTAAACACTATTTCACACAATTTAGATTTGTTCCTAAAGAACAGTCTAGCAATATATTGTACAATTTATTTATTAATGGCCTTTCCTGAGAAACGAATAATAGTGCGTAGATGGTACAGGGTGACCCCAAAAAATGCAACCCTCAATTTCTTCAATATATTTCTTATATGGTGATAAATTGCTCTGAGATTTGGCACACAAGGACTTCATTCAATGTGATATCCCCTGGCAAAGTTTTAATAATCATAGTCTTATATTGATGGAGTTATGGTTGTTTCAAAATATGCTCCAGATGTCGTCAATTTCGCTGAAAACAAACTTGCAATGTTCAAGGAAAACTCTTCATAACACGGATGCATTCTTCCCCATGGGTATGGCTCAAATTTTTGCAGCCATTGCTTGTTGGAGTTCTGCAATTGCAGTAGGGTTATTTTCATACACATTATCCTTTAAATAACCCCATATATAGAGGTCAGGGGCATTGAGATCAAGACTGTGGGATGACCATGGATTCTCCGTCCTAGGAGAGATAATCTTCTCATAGAAATGACTAGTGAGCCAGGCTATGCTATCATTAGAAGTGTGAGGAGTAGCTCCATCTTTCTAGAACCACTGTTCTTGTCTATTGAAGCCTCTATGTCACTCTAGAACTGCCTAGAACTTCCTGGGAACGCCAAATTTGCGCTGTGTGTTAACAGTAAAAGTGTTGCCAATATCAACCTCAAACCAAAAGGGGCTGATGATTTCATGTTTGGAAATTGGCAGCCCAAGCTGTGCATTTAACAGAATGAAGGGGCCTTTGAAGCACTTCATCTGGAATTTGAGATCCCAGATCACATTATTTCTTGAGTTTACATGTTCAGAAAGAAGGGAATGTGATTCATCCAAAACCTAACATTGGAAATGGACGACATTTGGAGAATTTTTGGAATGACCATAACTCTATCAATATAAGACTATGATTATTGAAACTTTGCCAGAGGATTCTACATTGAATGAAATCCATGTGTGCCAAATTGCAGAGCAATTAACCTCCATTCAAGAAAAATATTGAAGAAATGGAGGGTTGCATTTTTTGGGTCACCCTGTATAAAATACTAGCTTACATTTTGTTTTTATAACTGAAGTATGGGTCGTTTTATTAGACTCTAAGACGAAAGAGATTTCCCCAAAACTAAATGTTATTTAGTGTATCTTTGCTTCGTGTCATATCCCAAGCCTAGATTATCTTAACCTGTACGAATTCAAGTGTTGGATGATTGTTTGGAAGTGCAAATCTAAGGTTTTGTGCTCTTATCAATCCATGGTTCGTTATCGTGAAAACAATCTCATCCTTGTCTCCCTCTTCCAAGGCAGATAGGTCGACTTGTCGTGGCTCTATTGTAACAACTGGCATTGGCACCTAAAAATAATACATAGTATATCATTGTTTGTATTGAATATACTTCTGTATTGTTCTATATATACATTCACATTCATTCTTCAGTTGAGTTATATCTTATTATGAGTTATTGAATGATTTTAAGTGCAATGTAGGATATATTCTGATCGGGAATTCCGTATTGGAACGAGACAAAGTCGAGTGTCAATACAGAATAGCGAGAGCAGAATATATCCCGTATTGCACTTCATATCATTCCATAACGTTTTTATCGTATGATCCTCTGTATTGTTACTGAGAATGTCCCCTTCGTACCAATATTTTCTGTATTGCGACGGAGATGATCGATGGGGTCAATCTCAGTAGTAATACAGATTGGTACAGCACAAGAACTGACCAATCAGAAGGTTTCAGTTTACAGATCATACGATAATATGTTATATTGCATAAAACATACCCTGGTTTCAAATGTTGAATCTAAGGTGACAATGTACTTGTCCTGGTATGTAACAGGAGTCACAGTCCAGCTATACTGCACTGCCGTTCTCACTAAGAAGACTGTCACATTTGGGTCGGATGGAGATGCAAGAATGACCGCCCAGTATGAGGTATGCCTGTCTGCACTCACTTGTAAATTGTAGTATGCCTCTTCGAGATCGTTAAACAGCAGCTCTGTTGAACAAGACCAATTCTAATTTCATACTGATTCCTGGTCTTGGATAATAGTATTTAATGAAAGGAGTGGAAAGGAAAGGAATTCACAATGTTTTTCTCTTAAACCAATTCATTGAAAACATTTTGTAAAAAATTAGTACCGTGGGTACTGGGCTCATATGGTGACAGAAAAAAACGGATATAATTTTTTGCTGATTTTTTGTAACAAAATTATTTCAAGCCACTTGCCACTATTTTGGACTGACTGAGAGACAGATGGACAAATCTATGTTAAGTAAAATGGCAGAAAAACGGATATAATTTTTTTGCCAAATATTTGTAACAAAATTATTTCATACAACCAATCTTTACAGAGACACTGCTTTTTGCATTGCCAGATACCTGAAATTATTTGTGAAGCTAGGAAATGGGCCAAAATTGAATTTCGCGAGACAAAAATGGCGACCATTTTGAAATCAGGCAAGCAGGAGTCATAGGTTTTTTTTTTGTATTGATGTTGAACAAAAATAACTTGAAACTGGAATCCTATCGACAGAGGTTTTAAGCAAATGGTCCAAAAGAGGATTTCGCGAGACAGATGGACAAATCAATGTTAACTAAAATGGCTGAAAATAAAAAACGAATATAATATTTTGCCGATTTTTTGTAACTAAATTATTTCATACAACTACTCTTTACAGTGACATGGCTTTTTACAATGCAGGACAGCTGAAATTATTTGTAAAGCTAGGAAATGGGCAAAAAGTGAATTTCGCAAAACAAGAATGGCGACCAGTTTGAAAATAGGCGAGCTTTTGAACAAAGAGTCATAGGAGAGATTTTTGTATTGATGTTGAACAAAATAAACTTAAAACGGGAATCCTATCGACAGAGGTTTTAAAACGTGCCACTGTTATGGACGGAAAGTGGATTTCGCGAGTCAGATAGACAAATCAATGTTAACTAAAATGGCTGAAAAAAAATGGATACAATTTTTCGCTGATTTTTCGTAACAAAATTATTTCATACATCTACTTTTTACATTGACATGGAATTTTACAACGTAGGACACTTGAAATTATTTGTAAAGCTAGGAAATGGGTCAAAAGTGAATTTCGCGAGACAAAAATGGCGGCCATTTTGAGAATAGGCGAGCTTTTGAACCAGGAGTCATAGGGGAGTTTTCTGTATTGATGTTGAACAGAAATAACTTAAAACAGGAATCCTATCAACAGAGGTTTTAAAACGTGCCACTGTTATTGACGGAAAGTGGATTTCGCGAGTCAGATAGACAAATCAATTTTAACTAAAATGGCTGAAAATAAAAAAAATGGATATAATCTTTCGTTGATTTTTTGTAACAAAATTATTTCATAAATCTACCCTTTACATAAACATGGATTTTTACAATGTAGGACACCTGAAATTATTTGTAAAGCTAGGAAATGGGTCAAAGGTGAATTTCGCGTGACAAAAGTGACGGCCATTTTGGAAATAGGCGAGCTTTTGAACCAGGAGTCATAGGGGAGTTTTCTGTATTGATGTTGAACAGAAATAACTTAAAATAGGAATCCTATCGACAGAGGTTTTAAAACGTACCACTATTGCTGACGGACGGACAGACAGACGGACGGACGGACAGACAGACAGACGGACAAGTGAGTGATTGCAAAAGCTCACCATGTGAGCTAAAAACACGGTATTTTATGTAATGTTGACTGATTAAAAACAATTTCATGCGAAAGTTATTTAGAAATATTTTATATAACTGTTTTTGTTAACATTTTTTGTTTTTTTAGTACAATTGTTTTTGCTCCTTTCTACCAATTCTTAAGAGTGAAATAACATGTCTTTCCGAACCTTGTTGGAACAAAATAGCATATACAACATGTTTTTAGACCTCTCAATATTATAGTTATGCAAAGGCATTTTTGGTTGATTTTTAAAAGAGTATAAACAAATTAAAACAAAATCCCCTTAAAATAGATAAAAATCAAGATAAACCTTTCATTTCATTAACAAGATACTTTTTTTAAAATCAACAATTACAATATTGAGAGACCTAAACATGTTATGTTTATGTCGTTTTGTTCCAATGAGGTTTGGAAAGATGTTTCATTTCACTCTGGAAACATGATACATAGAACAAAACAAGTGTTCGATGTGTTTTCTAAAACAATATAGATGAAAGTATATATATATTTTTCAAATTATATTGTTACCATTCAAAAGATGACCGTTAAATTGACGATGTGTTAAATTTTTAGATTTTTTATGACTGGTTTAAGAGAAACTTGTGTTCAAAAGGTTCTCCTTATCGATATCACTCCTTTCATTTTGGCATATGCGATCATTCACTTCTACTGAATAAGATAGTGTTATTAGATTAAACTGTTATTTATAAAAAAAATAAGCATAATTGAGCATTGATTTCATAAATTAGAGTTTTAAGATGGAAGTACCTGTGCTGTTTGAGGTCGTGTAGGTTTCAATAACGTTCCCCTTTTGGGGATTCCTTAGCTTCACTTTAGCACCCACGACCAACAGGTCACCATCAGTATAATATGTATATTCATCTTCTACTCGTATTCTTAAATCAACTTTATTACTGGAAGTGATGAGGATTTTATATCCAATTACAACCTCAGTTAGCTTTGAACGAACTATCATTGAACCACGTCGGTCTCCAATGGATTCTGTTGGCGGTACGGTAATCGATAAAGACAACGTTGCTTTTGTTGAGGCAGGGATGGTGAAAGTACCATCCGAGCTGACGGTAGAATTTTCTGTAAATCGTGAAGAAAGTGTTTCTATTGGTCAAAATATAAGCCTATTATTGAAATGAATTATTTGTGACCCGTGGGTTTAGAGAAATAAATAATTCGTTATATCTAAAATGCAATAGTAGCATCCCTACTCTTAACATAAGATGAAGTTAAGCAAATGTGAGTTACATTCCATTTATAAATGCAATCACTTTGTGATATTACCTGATTCAGGGGAAAACGAGATGAGAGATATCAAAGGGTCACCACTTAGTTGAACTCTCACATCAAGAGCGGAAATTATTCCTTCGTTACTAATATCAATCTATAATAAGGAAGGCGAGTAGGAAGCATGTGGAAATAAGGAATTTAAAGTCTCGAGAGGTATGAAGACCTCTCTGGCATCTAGTTCAATATCAAATGGCATACTTTGACCACCATCTAGGTCAGGCAGAAACAGCGTATCGCTGGTAGCTGTTCTATTACTGGGTTTTACAATAAGTCTTGTAAGTGGTGGTCCAAATCCCCTCAACTAAAACAGATATTGTATAACTGCAATAAACCTTTATGGATTTTAAATGATTTATACATTGAACTTGTGATGTTATGTTTTATTTATAAGTCAACTGAAAAGCCAGAGTGAATGTATTGCTTAATCGTTATCAAATAATCATGACATACTTTAAATAACTGACCACTAGAATAAAATAAATATGTGAACAACATAGAACAAAATATAATTCCCCGTTTTGCCTCGGCCAATCATTTGTGTTCATTCATTAATATTACCATTGATCTCTCACATATTTTTGTAAATTGTAATCGATGCCTTGTATATATGTTTATGAAATAAAATTTATTAAAAAAAATTGCCAACTCGAGGAAGTAATGATGGTGCATGAAACCATTGTATACCTGAACTGATATGTTATACAGTGGCAAAGATCCAGTATTAACAAGCTGAGCAACTTTTGTCAACTTGCTATCATCTAAGAATCTTCTGTGGTAGGCACTTGCAGGCTGCACTTCCATCCCTAGCACTGTCCATTGGGCTTGATTAGTACACCTGTCTTCAGACGGGTGTCGGGCACCCTGTCATAAAATACAAATATGTAATTATATAGCAATAAATGAATAATATTGGAGTTAAAAATGTTAATTTTGCAATGTGAAATATGGTTGCATTTACTTACAACTTCGAATAAGCCACTGTCTGCAGGATTTGGGTAGTATACTGTTACATAGCGCCCTCTATCTACTAGATCGGTGAGTGCTGGTATGTTACGAATTCTTCCTTTGTTCTTTACACTAATATGAAGCAGCGGTAAGAATATATTTAATAAACAATCGCAATTGTTATTAGCAGCGTTTTAAAGAGATATCCAACAAATGATAACAACGGTTAAACGTTGTTATAATTTTCAATTCTTAAAACGTCAAAAGTAGATGTTTAATGGTTTGGATATCAAATAGTCCTAAATGGAAACTCTTTTTGATATCTGACTGATGTAATTATTGTTTTTTTTTCATAATTTTCGATAATGGGGATTAATTGTATTTCATTTTGACGACTATTTGGCCTTTTCTTACTTGTAAGATGTAAAGTTATTCATGTGTGATCTATCACCTTTATTTGATTGCAGTTTAACTGTTAATAACAATTACCAAATGTGCACCAGCACTGTCCCTCTTTTATTTTCCCATTCCTCCTCAAAGAGGTCAACGTAACCATAAATGTAGACTTCCGATGGTTGTGATAAGATACCACTGACAGACAATGACGTCACTGTGGCATTGTAGCTAAATGGGACGCTCAGCTTAAATGTGAAGATATCCGAACCAATGACATTTTCTACGCGCATGCGAACGTCCTTGAACAAAAATTAATAAAAACGCTGATGTATGTTTTCAACAGTTGAATATAATTAGTTAATTCAAATACAAATATGATAGCAATTTAAGTACTAAAAATGCGTAAGTAAAACTTAACACATTTTGAAAATCAAATAATGTTTACATTCATTTGAATTGATATTATTATACTATTTAATGTAAATATAATATCTATGTTAATATAATAATAAGTAAAGTATTCACAGGATCTATTACTTACATAAGGTTCCTTCTGTGCCAAAGTCCTGGGCCAAACTAATAAACCGGATCTTGGATCAAGAGACATTCCTGAAGGCCCATTTAGCAGCTGCCATGTTACTGGTCTAGTTCCCTACAATGATCCCAAAGTGATGAAACGTAATGAAAATTACATTGAAATCGCCATGTTTTTGTCATAAACACTGTTGAGACGTTAAAAGTATGGTCCATTACTATAATATATTGTGATATTCTTCTTCATAAATGTAATGAAATAACTTTGCACTAGGGATAATCCCCATGCATATAGCACCTGTTTTATATCCATTTGAGCTTCATATCTCTTTCCTTCCTTGGCAGAGGTAAGATTTACATCTTTAAACAATGGCGCAATTACAATATCCTGACACGACTCTCCTTCCCAGGGTAGAATACATGAACATTGTCCAAACAAACAAATCCCATGAGGTGGTGTTTCATTTCGTCCACAAGCACTGCTTGGACATGTAGGATGGTACTTGAATTTCACCTTTAAAGAGTAATAAGCACGATTTATGGTACAGTAATGACACACTACCCTACCACGTGACCACGTTTAAAAGGGAAACAGGGTACAGCTAAGTTGCAAATGGAGGACGTGGGTTTAATTCCATATTTCTGAACGTAAAATACATTTTACATTTATTTCAAGTGTTCTACCAGACATAGAATTGATTCATCAAGCAGTTTGTAGAATATTGTTGGCAAAAAACCACTATAGGCAAAGATAGATAATAGTGGGCGCAGTGAAGCAAAACTCAATGCAATACACGATACATTTCAGTAAATCTGTCAACGTACAGGGAGCATGTAAGTTTCCCTTCGAAAATGTTACATTGATATGCAACAAAACCCCAGTAAACTGTTATTTAAACTGCGTGTCATCGTGTTATATGTGGATACATTTTCCAGTATGTTATTCAACTGTACTTTTGTGAATTAATTGTTTTTCTAAAATTTTAAGATGCAAAAAAGTCGTCCCAGAAATGTATCTTTACTTTGCCGTAAGGCATTACACATTGTGAAACATTTTTCCTCTTGTCACAAGGAGAATAATGTTTGTTTCGAGGTGTCTTGTGATGAGCGTTTCATGATTAAATGCAAAATCACTAGAGCAGATACCATCCAAAAACATCTGACATTCAATTTTTTTCAATTTCAATTTATTTATAATTCCTAGGTATTGATATAATTACAAAAGTATGCCTTTGTTAACTTAATAACATTAGCGGCATAGTAAATATTAAAATATAACACAGGAATTTACACAATACAAAAACTACGTAGTAAGTTCAGTCTGTATGTATGCTTGCTCCCCATCCCGCCCATAAGGTTCCCAAAGGATTTTAGAATGTTTCACTGGCTATTTAATACTGAGATTGCTGCTGAGATATAGTGAGCCACGATTTCAATAATTTTGCCATTCATCACATCACTAAGGTTGGAATCCCCATACAAAAGTGTATCTGATTTCTTAGAGATTGTTAAATTTCTGAAATCGGGCAAACATTCCAGTTCGTCGAGTCCTGCAAGAAGCAATTCCCTTTCATTTATGAGCAGTGGACATTTGATTAGAAAATGAGAAGTAGTTTGTTGAGCTGCACCACATGGACAATTGGGATCATTAATTGTGGTAAAATTGTGGGCATGTAAATGGCTATTGAGCAGGAGACCAGCTCTAAGTCTGTTGAAAGTAATTTCTGTTTGTCTTGGCATAGGGTACTCCATTTTGGATGTAGGTAAGGATGCATGGCTCCAATTCTTCCTGACTGATCTTTTGAATCTTGAGATTGGCTGCCCAACTCGGATAGTTGGTGGAAGCCCATTCCAAGCTGAGATGGCACTAAAAATTGTAGATTTTTTAGTCGAGACACTAGTATGTAATGGAATCTGGTAATCTGGCTGATCTCTCAGCCTTCTGGTGTGAACAGTTTCATAAGTTCTCACAACATCACAGATGAAGGGAGGTAAGGCATTAAAGCGCGCTTTAAAAATAAAAAATTTTAAGTGCTCATCTCTTCTCGATGCCAGCTTGATCCAGTTTAGAGAAGAAAGTACCTTATCAGTATTTGACCCATGAATAGCACCTGAAACTAGGCAGGCTGCTCTATAGTGCAGACTTTCGAGAGCTTGGAGCTTAAGAGCTGATGCTTTATTGTAAATTATGTCACAGTAATCTAAGTGGGGTATGAAGTAAGCATTGTAAATTGTTTCGAGATGTTTGCTTGATAACTTTTTACTAAGAGCCTTCAGTGGCCTCATTAAAATTGTCAATTTGTTAATCAGTTGGTCAATGTGGGCATTAAAGTTTAAGTGTTTATCTAACACTATTCCTAAGTGTTTATGGGTTTCTGTCATTGGTATTTGCTCATTTCCTAAGGTTAATGATGGTTGAGCTGCTAATCGGATTCTATGACCATAAAAGGTTAAATCAGCACTTTTTGGGCTTTAAATTGCATCCGCCAAGTGGTTGCCCATTGATTAAGATTGTTCAAATCTTGTTGGAGGGGTTGATTTAAATTCAATAGCATGTCAGAGTTTCTGTCATAGGCATCATAAAGTGACGTATCATCGGCAAAAATGAAAGCTTTTGGAGTTTAAGTTGTCAGGTAAATCGTTAATATATATTAAAAATAGTAGGGGACCTAAAACGGAACCTTGGGGAACACCGGTATTTATAGTGAATTGGGGTTTATTAGGATTATTGACCGGATTGTTGTTGTTACCGATTAGTTCAGGATCAGAGGACCAATCGGAAAGGCAGTTATTAATACGCACTTTGACCCTTCTGTCTTTAAGATAGGAAGTCATTAATAGAATAATTTTATTGCTACATCCGTATGCTTTAAGTTTTTTTATTAGGAGTTTGTGAGGGACTAAATCAAATGCAGACGTCAGATCTAAAAATATTGAACGGACATTTTTCTGTTGATCAATATTAGTTTGTATATCATGAACAATGTTGATCAGTTGATTCACCGTGTTGTGTTGTGGTAAAAACCCACTTTGAAATTTGTACAAGAGATTATTATCCAGTAAGTGAAGAAGGAGTCTATTGTGAATAATTTTTTCTAATACTTTGGATAGTGAACATAGTAACGTGACTGGTCTATAGTTAGAAATATTGCCTTTATCCCCTTTTTTAAAAATTGGTATGATTGTTCCTTCTTTCCAAATAACAGGAAAAGTACTTTCTTCAAAAATTCTATTGAAAAGTCTACTAACTGGAAAAGACAGACTATCGCCACATAATTTGATCATTTTGTTTGTTGAACATCTGACATTCAACACGTCATATAAGACTAGATCGATCTGGTATTAGTTTTTTACAATAATAGAGAAGGAGAAATACGACGTCATATCACCTCAACAGCAAATCGTGAAGAACAAAATGTCGTGGCATGATGGTATTTTGAACAAACTATTTTAAATGATCGGTTTTTGAGGACGGTAGTGAATTAGACCATTCAAGGGGTTATATAGAAAGATTCTTTACATGTAGTTGACCCAATTTTAATTATTCTGAATAGCGGATAGTCATTAATCCTGATAGCCGATAGTCATTTATCACTTACGTGTTCATATTCAATTTCGTTATTTTATTTCAATTTGATACCCTAGTAACACGTATAATCTAGCGTTCTTGTTAATTTAATGACTAAAATGCATATACGACCTGAAAGCCCGTGTCTAAATCTACTAAATAATGTTTACTTTATTTGGATTAAATAACAATTGATGACACCTCAAAGCATCAACAGGCGGCCTTTTTAGTATTATTTTCACTGTTTGCAACGTAAATATACATGAGATCGGGACATAGTATGTCTGTATAATCAGCTTACTTTCTCGCTCCCTGTACTATTGAACAATTTACATTCCTTGTACCCTGTATTGATCAATTTTTGCAGCTGTGTACCGTGTACTATGACATATCAAATATTTTAAAATTTAAAACGATATTATTTACATTCTTTCTTCAACTATCATATAACTTGGAACATGGACTTCACTATTGCACCACTGAAGTTCAGCGAATAGCAATATTGACTCACTCCGAGCACCAAACGTATTAACCTTTTGACTAAGCAGTCGATATACTCAAAAGCGACCTGATTGAAAGCCAAAAAATTCGCGCATGCGCTATCGAGGTAGGGTAGTGTGAATGAACGTTGTCAAAACATACTAATCCCATGAGCTAGTGTTTCATTTCGTTCACAAGCACTAGACAGGTTCCAATTCTAATAATTCAAGTTTTTGAGGCATTTTTTAGAAAAAGCAACAGACCTATTTTTACTCGATCAGTTTTTCATGCTGATAAAGATATTAAAAGATGACAGCTCAACGGGGTGGTCACGACACTGAATTTTGGCATTTTTACCCCCCTAGGAAAATATTCTTGGGGGTACTATGAAACTAGTTCATAACTCAAAGGATATATGAGCTATTGTTCTGAGTTGTACACCATACATTGCTTGTACAAATATGAATACTATCCTAAAGTTATAGGTTGATACCCTTATTGGTCTCAGAAAAAATACAATAAACAGGAAAAAGATACGCAATTTTTGTCTTACCAATTTTATATTTGTAGCTTCAAGCAAAATATGACAGCTTTAACAGCTCATAGTAGTATTCTAAAAACATTTCCAAGCTATGTGCGGTATTGTAATACATCTATTTTAGTTATGAAGTACTATTTTGTAATTTTAATATGACTTTATAGTGCCCTACCCCTGGAAAATTGAAGAAAGTGGATGTGGTGAATTTTATCATTTTGCAGCATTAAGTTAGAAACGTGTATTGATAGACACCAAATCAATAAATTCATACCATCATCAAATGTTAGGTGACATTCTAATTCATTTATTACTAGAATATAGGACTTAAGATATTTTATATGTAAGTTTTCAATTTAGTACATGTATCATAATGAAATCTAGTGTAATCACATACTAGAGTGGACATTGACATAAAGTCCAAACATTAGAATCATCAATTGATCTCATTTGAGCAACTAGACTATGGTGGTCATCATGCACAAGTACTGTACTACAGTGCCCCATGTACTAGGGCACGAGTCATTTGAGCCATATATACCTCCTGGTATATACCTTTACAACCCATTCAGAAGGGTCATTTACAATGTGCAAAACATGGCAAAAATTCCGTAAAACTGTTAGTTCTCATCATCTGACCATATAGCAGAGTCCTCATAACCCATGATGCATCACATCCAGATGTAAGAAAAGTAGCTAAGAATCTTTTTTATTAACCAAAGATGACTTTCCCAGCGATGGTGCCTCACACTTGTATAACTTAGTGTAACTTATTTATTATTATTTGGGAGAAGTTGAACATTTCCCTCTTTTTACACTTTGAATTTTAAACAACATTACCAATTAATAATATATTGTGGATCTTTTGGGAGATATTATATTTGAGATTGTAAGAAATACATTGGTAGGTCAACTGTACATGTTGCTTTCAATTTTGTTTACTCTACATAGATCTGATTCTGCATTTAAATACCAAGACTTCAGTTTACTTCAACTGTCATGACTAAAGCATTTGATAGTATTTACATAATAATGTTATAAAGGAGCATGTAGGTTATCGCAAACAACTTCAGACAATGGTCCTTTTTAATGAGATTTTAGGAGATCTGCATTTTTAACCATTAAAAACTAATGTTTTCTTCCATCTGATGGCATATTTGAATTCTGTGAGTTATTCTCTATCAAAAAACTTTGATTTGCACTGTTATTTACCATTATTCAAATTCTAATGATTTTCTGGTTGTCTAAAAAAGGTTGGGCTAAATCCCCATTGACACAATGCTGAAAATCTTTAAAATTAACTCTTACATTAACTCTTACAAGGATCACAATTTTAATGTGAAATCACAATCCACATGTCAATAAGATCATATAGTTACATTCCAATGATGTTTTAAGTTGATCCAAATGGAATTACTTCTTAAATCAAGAAATTAAGTGACTCTGGCAATACATTTACATGTATTCTAGCCCTACCCAAGCTCTACCAATACCCATGATGCCATCTATTTTTCATTTATATGGAAAAGGGTCAATTCTAACTTGAATTATGAATATTTTCTGACCATGAACATGGGTATATCTTTTAGATCTATTCATTATCTTCAAGAAAAGTAAATATAATCATGATTAATCAGACCTTAGTGATATTAAAGGGAATGGCCAAATCAACATACTTTTTACTAAAAATGATGACCTAGATTTACCAAAGATGCAACCTTTAATTATATTGTTGAATGCAAAATTAGAATATGCTTTGAGACATTTTCTATTTCTTAAGAGGAAAAGTGGATTGCTCCAGGGAGCAAAATGAACTGAAACCAATGGATAGCATGAATTTTTTCAAAGGGGAAATAACATGGGGAACACTAATCAGTTTCTTTTCAAGAGCTATTTGATACATTAAAATAAAGAACAGTAATGCATTAAACATTGTTAAAATGATTGCATTTTTGGTGAAAATGAGGTCAACAACTTTGAAAAAATATATTGATGGGTTGATTGCTAGTGAAATATCTCCGAGTCTGATTGACTTTATTATCCCTGTATACATGTACCTGTCTTCATGGTCAGGAAATAGTCATAATCAAAGATATAACTGTCTGAAATTGTTTGTGATAACTTACCTGAACCTTTGCAGGTCAAATCAGGAGTGACACAATTTATATCCACCAAATTTTTGACATGTCTTCAAATACGATAGTATTTTCTTCATAAGATAGAGTGTCACTTGTTAAAATTGATTGACCTGAGATCATATCATATCTTTATGACATAGAAGCGAAATAGCCATATTTAACTTTAATGAATGTTGTTTGCCACTTTTCGACAATTTCGTCAAAATCTGGGGTATTTGGGGGAGGGGTACAATTAGGTTAAAAAATTCACCTGATTCAGACTATCCTTAAATGAGCACTGATTCATCCGAGAGCATAACTTTTCCAAAATATGTTAGTGTTATTTTTGGACCACTCACATTAATGTTTCGTCTAATTTTCCCTCAGAGTTTCCTCATCATTGTCCAAATCTTAGGCCATATTTGTTGAGATATATGAATGTTCATTATTAAAATCTTGCCTTCCTTTGCAGTTGGAGAAGATTGGGCATTAGGTGTTATAAGTCCCAGACCACGATAAATAAAAAAAAATAACAACAAAATGACATAGAACTGATAAACGTTTTCTCTTGTGCGTGTCAGCCATGGTCTACCAAATTAATTGCTATTCAGTGGGAAGAAACTCATTTTTCAGTTTCCATTTTAATTTCCTGACAAATAGAGCGATCATCCCAGCATTTTTTCTATGATCTATGTGTCGCCATAGCAACTTCTGTTTAAGAGAACAATAGAAAAGATTACTTTACCATAATTTTAATCATCCCACATTGTAGACATATTTAGAATTAAAAATATAAGAGAATGACAAAACCTCTTAAAACACATTTCTTAGGTAACAAATAGTGTGGTATTTTTGTTACTATGGCAACAGAGTTTTTTCTTTTTGTCATTTTTGTCATACAGATTACCTATCATACCAGGACCAAATCCTGAAAATTGAAAATTTGAATTCAGTATCTTCATTAGTATCTTAGATATATAGGTTTCTTATAGTATCCCCTGCAGATTTTATCGGAGTATAAGGAAAATGCTCTGAAGAGGGATGCCCAAGGATGCCACTTAACAGTTCTGGTGTTTTTGAGGTCCCAAACCCTCTATTAATGGGAATAGTTAACCATTGTAAAGCTACTCATGGTTAACTGACAGAATTGATTGTATCTTCAACTAAGAAGTCAATAAAATGTTAAAACCAGAAGAAAACCACACCAACTTTCTTCTACTTACCAGGGGTAGGGCACTATCAAGTCATATTAAAATTACAAAATAGTACTTCATCACTATAATAGATGTATTACAATATCACACATAGCTTGGGAATGTTGTTAGAATACTACTTTGAGCTGTTAAAGTTATCATATTTTGCTTGAAGCTACAAATATAAAATAAGCAAGAAAAAAATGACAAAAATTGCATATTTTTTTCTAATTAATTGTATTTTTCCGAAACCAACAAAGATATCAACCTATAACTTTAGGATAGTATTCATCTCTGTACTAACAATGTATGCTGTAGAACTCAGAACAATAGTTTATATATCCTTTGAGTTATGAACTAATATTATAGTACCCCCTAAGATAATTTCCTAGGGGGGTGAAAACGCTAAAATGCAGTGTCGTGACCACCCCGTTGAGCTGTCATCTTTTAATATCTTTATCAGCATGAAAAACTGATCCAGAAAAAATAGGTCTGTTGCTTTTTCTAAAAAATGCCTCAAAAACTCTTTCCCTTGAGATATTCTGAAATTGGAACCTGTCTACACTGCTTTGCAACTTTGGTGGTATTTATTTATTTAACCTGGGCCTATATGTGTCTTTCAAAATATATTGATTTACTTGACAATTGATAACATCCTATAAGTATACATACTCTTTGGTTTGTAAATTCGCCTCCTGGTTTTCCTACATTTACAGGAACTTCGCCAACTTGCTTTGGACTTATACAACGTACTTTTTCACGTGACAGCCACTGACCAATCCCATCGATATCACCGAAACGACATCTATACAAACCATCACTACTGTTCTCAAAATTGTGCCCGATTACGTTGACCACAGTGCCACCTATGTCAGGTCCTGTTGACGGGGCAACAAGGAGAACTGTAGGAATTGGCAAACAGTAAGGCCCATAGAATGTTCTGTTGCACTCACTGCATAGTTCACCGGCCCAATTCACAGATGAACATGTACATCCACCTTAGTTGAAAAAATATTATGATACATTACACATTCAAACTAACCTGTCCTTGACATCTTCATTTTCAAAATACTCCAAAAATGCCAGTGATTTTCTATGAACGTTCGTAATGTGGAATTTAAATTAGTTTAATCAAATCACCTGATATCTCGTCACAGTATCCATTGACACATGGCGGACATGGCTTGCAATCCTGCCCCCAATACATGTCGTTACATTGTGTACAGTTGGTCCCAGCATACGAAGGGAAACATGAACACAAATCTGGTTGCAAACAGTATCCTCTTCCAGAACACTTGTTCACATTGTAGCATGTTGCATCTGTACAGGTCTCTCCAGTCCAACCCCCGGTGCATTCGCAAACATTTGGTCCAACACAGTTGCCATTACCATAGCAGTCAGAGACCTTTATATACAAGTATTAGCACAAAATTCAACATAACCAACATAACTAGACAGATGTATGTCGTACACCCCACGAGTAGACAAATCCAATCTCAGTTTTTCTGTCGTATTAGGGTCGTTCGAAAAGTTTTGCAATAAAGTGATTTGTTTAACATGTTTGAAGAGTTCGTTTACAGTTATTCTTTTGCATAACCCAAAAATCAAAATGGGACACATTGATATAAGATTCATTTTTTGCCATGAGAACTTGTTATTATTTAAAGGATAGGTATCGACATGGAGAACTGAATTCAACAATGTTTTTCTCTTAAACCAATCATTGAAAACATTCTGTAAAAAACATGGTATTTTATGTAATGCTGACCGATTGACAACAATTTAATGCGAAAATTATTTAGAAATATTTTATATAACTGTTTTTGTTTTTTAGTGCAATTGTTTTGGCTCCTTTCTACCAATTCTTGAGAATGAAATAAAATGTCTTTCCGAACCTTGTTGGAACAAAATAGCATATCTCGTACAACATGTTTTTAGACCTCTCAATATTATAGTTATACAAAGGAATTTTTGGTTGATTTAAAAAAAGTATTCAAAAAATTAAAACAAAATCCCCCCAAAATATATAAAAATCAAGAAAAACCTTTTATTTCATTAACAAGATACTTTTTCAAAATCAACCAAAATTTCCTTTGTACAATTACAATATTGAGAGACCTAAACATGTTGTGTTTATGTCGTTTTGTTCCAACGAGGTTCAGAAAGATGTTTCATTTCACTCTGGAAGCATGATACCAAGAACAAAACAAGTGGTTGATGTGTTTTTTAAAAACTCAATATAGATGAAAGTATGTATATATATTTCAAATTATATTGTTACCATTCAAAAGATGGCCATTAACACTATATAAAATAGCGAATATTGCAATAAGAAGTGTCTATTTGTAAGAATCTCTTGTAATCAGCAGTAATCAGCAAAAATACTCAGAACATATAAACAGAGACAATACAGAGACAATACTCGCTGCATATATGGAACACTCTGTATATTCAGGTATTGCTCCCCTTTATTTGTAGAACAGCACAAATAAGCACTGATTATATGTGAAGTTAAGAATACTCAAATATATGCAAACGCAATACTCTGTAACTGTGCAATATATTCACACATTATAATTGCTTCTTTCTGACTATATAATTTCTAAGTTACACTGCTCATTTTATAACTGAGCATACAAATATAAAACAGACTACTTGTGCGTATTTTTCTTTTAAGCATGATAAAACAATACAACTAAAGAATGTAAGTACCGTCCGTAGTTCTTAATGAATATGACTTTACCTGTGTATAATAAGCAACTAGATGGATTTTGAAATGATCTATTTTTACTATAATTATGATTTTGGACAACTTTACAGTCGCGCCAGAAAAGAGAGATCTTCCTTGTAGTTGCTAATAAAAATAGCTTGTGCAAACACGTGTTTTGTATGGATATTGCCCCCCCCCCCGACGGAAAGCTTGCTTCACCGCTGAACTTGTTATCTCTTCTCAATGCAACCTAATTCTTCCTGAGAAGGTATTATAATCTAACAACCTGTTTACACCGTTTGTATTAAATCTTGGATTATGCATGGGAATTCAATTTTTAACTTTTTCAAATCGCCGCTTTGATTGTTTCCAATTCCTCATGATGAAAGCAAATGGGAGTCTAAGACTTTTTTGGTCATGATTTCGATTTCAATTATAATCCACATATCAATTCAGAATCATAAAATATAAATCACTGGAACAACGTCCAACAGCTTTAAATCCGCTTAATAAGTTATCAAAACACATTCTTGCCTTTGAATTAAAGCCCATGTTAAATTTCTCCCGGTAAAGTCGGTATTTAAAAAAAATTATGACAGGTAATGGAATCGAAAGAAGATTTTATAGTGTTTATGTTTCAATCAGTGTTGATTTCATTGTCTTATATAAGTCATTTACATGAGTTTTCTATATTCGATGCTTGGTCATAGTTTGCCCGGATAGTTTGTTTATAATAAATTGATTTAAGTTAAAATAAAAATAAAGATAGTATTCTAATTTGAATTTTACAAACTGGGTATCAAAAAGCCGGCTTTTTAACTTCAGTTTGAAACTGGCTTTTTTTAATCCTGCTTTTTCAGAACTATAGATTGTAAATGCGGTTGCCTTTGTGTACTTTTCTATGTTTCGGTGTAGTTTTGTGAATCAAAATATCATTTTTTGATAATTTGATAATATGAGAATGAAGAGACAAAACCCGGGAATCAACAGTTATACAGGCTACATTCCATCTCATTATCTATGTCATGATCATTATAACTTAATTCTCATACCTGTTTACGGCTGGGTGTAGGTTCGCATGGGCGTAGCCAAGGCAGGGGGGGGGGGGTGACATGTGCGCTTGCATTCCCCACCCTCTCAAAAAGAAAAAGCAATTTTGCAAAATATGAAAAAAACATTGACATTGACATTAAAAAATTCCGGGGGTAAACGCCGTTCCAGGCCTCGCTTCGTTCGCATTGATGCAAACCCAAGAAATCTCACCCCATGAACAATTGCTGACTCTGCCCCTGGTTCAAATAGTGATTATAAGGTTAGCCATTTTGTGAAATTAAATGAGATAACCTTGACACTAAAATCTATATTCTACATGATCTTTGCATGAAATATCAATTGCGTTTAAAATGACCTTTTTTTGAAAGTACGTAAGCCCCCCTCCCCCCCAGGCAAAAGCTGGCAACGAGCCTGTAATATGATGAATTGCCTCAGTCTTTTCTCAATCGTGTAATAAGATATTAGGTGACATACATTATTCAGGTGACTTTACTGAGTTAAACTTGCAAACAATATATTCCACAATACATGTTTTCTGTAATGCATTTTATCAGAGATAGCCTTGTTTCTATTTCGAATTGGGTCTTGCTTTGTTTCTCATTTCCAAATATATTCACAAAATTTGAAAGATTCGGTATGCTCAAATAAGTTTTGTGCATGGTAGAGCAAACTTACAAAAAATACCTTTTGACATGCCAGAGCAATATACAAAACTTTAATCCCTTATTATTCAATTCTTGCAAATGAGTTAAGTTCTCACTAAATCCGTTTGTTATAGTTATTTTATGGATTCATTTCTACAGCCGGTGGTTCTAATTTCCGCATAAAAATTATTTTGCAAGGTAAGTCTACATGTATGTAATGATTGTATAGTCCCCGTGCTACATTGTATAATTAAAGGACGATTCTCGGTTTGGAGAACGAACTTCATCAATCTAAATGAGCATTATCCCTGCTTCGGACAAATTTGATTTTTTTTTACATAATATAGATTTGAATGTCTTCTTTTGAATAGTCATAATTTAATTTGGGTAATATTTCTAGATTTTTCGCAAAAAAATATTCGCGCAGTACACTGATGAACTTCTTTCCCCAAATCGAGATTTGTAATTTTTTGAATCGGTCAAATTGAGCGTTATCCCTGCTTCAGACCAATTTGTTATTTTTACATCTTGTAGATCTAAATGTCCTCTTTTGAATATTCATAGTTTAATTTGGGTAATATTTCTGTATTTTTCATGAAAAAAATTATTAGCCCAGGAGACTGTTCTCCAAACCGAGAATCGTCCTTTCTGTTAAATTCAGAAATTAACCGATTATCTCTGAAGGAATACAAAAGGTAGTTCAACATTTTTAAGAATATAACAAGGCGGGCATGGATACCACGGGGGGGGGGGGGACTTAGCTAGATTATTATCAGATGTTTGTATTGTTCACTTCTAAGGATGTTATTTTAGCAAGTAATGCAATCAGACGGCTTGGGTTCAATGGTGTTACTTATAATTAGTGCTGGGATGATTTTTAAATCCATAGGAAAGTAATATCTGAGATCAAGGCATTTGTTGAAATAAAATATTGAGATGTTTAATACCAATAACCCTTTCAATAATTACATCTAGCTTATTTGATGTGAGTTTTGTCTACTGCTTCTTCTGGCATCCGGGTTCCTAGTAAATTATGATGTAAAGTAAATAAGGTTTTTGACTTGTAATACGTAATGTACGTGTACTTATTCAAAATCGTTATCCCCGATTAAAGCTTTAATGATCGCAAAATAATAAACAAATGTATCAAAATATTGAAAACTCAATATTACATGTCAAATCACAGCTATTATTATGTGAATGTGTGAGTAAAATACAATCACTACACGTATATCTGCAAATACATATATGCAATATATGCGAGATCGCATTTAAACTTGATTGATTTAAATTGATTGAATGTCTGAAAAAGAGCTTTAATGATGTTATAGAGAAAGCATGAGTGAGAGTTGATTCTTTGAAAATAACGGTGAGGCGTTAGCCGAACCGTTAATTTCAAAGAATTAACTCTCACGAATGTTTTCTCTGACTTAAACCCATACACTGTCACCTATGCAAGCTAAACGGCAATCTTTAGTAACATACACGCTCTAGTAACAGCCAATTTTCAATGAACTATTGTAATCGTAGTGAGTGCACTGACCCGTGATCATTTGAATGGGCAATGGTGATTAGTATTGGCCCGAGTATTTGATTTGTATATATTGCATGTATGTACGTGGTGTCAACGCTATGTTCAGTACAGTTAGTTTAACATTCGAGAAGAAGCATGGAATACGTAAGGATGGATACATTAGAGAGGTTTCGCAAAACGAATTAGCTAAAACGTATCCGCATCCGTATCTCGTTACGTTTACGGATACGTATTT